TGCAGATTTAAGGGGTTGGCGGAATATGTCACAACGTACGAAAACGTATGTACTGAGATGTACTCAAATGAAGGATCCATGAACTCTCGTTGAAGTCGAAGTGTCGTACCGCAAACTATTTCGACGTCGGCGCATCTAACGTCAGCCTTCAACGAATTGCGAATACCGAGTAACACGAGTGAAAGAGCGCCAGAATGGACAACAGCGGGTATCAAGATATCACGGGGCAACATGGACTAAGAGAAAGGATCGAGAACGGCAAGATATTTGCAAGTTTAGTTGTATTCAGCGAATTGGTTATTGGCGGCGCAATATTTCCCTAAAAACTCATACAAAAATCCACATGGATCTTACCGGATCCCACTACAAGGAATCGGATCGACCAAATTTGTATTACTAAAACTTCAGATCAGTAGAAAGCGTGCAAACAAAGAAAAAAGCTGACATAGCTTCATATCATCGTCTGGTGGCTACCGAGATGAAACCGAACGAAGCACTGGGTAGCTGGGGAAACAGCAGTAAAAAGTGTCGATACAACACAACTTCAAGATACTGACGAACTCAAACAATTCAAGATAACTTTCAATGACAGGTTTCAAGCCTTACAAGATCTGCTAGATGAAGAAGGAACTAATATGGAGGACAACTGGAAAGGGATCAGAGAAGCATTGACTTCAACATGTCAGGAGGTTCTGGGGGAAAACAAGATCATTATAGGGAATTCAATCTCTATCGGAACCCTGTTTTGGGTTCAAGAAAGGAAGAACAAGAAAACAGCAATTAACAACAGCCGAACATGACCAGGGAAGGTCAAGGCATAAGCTGAATGTACAGAAGCAAACAAGTGACGAACAGCATTCGAGCTGACAAGCAGAAATATGTGGAAGACCTAAGGACGACAGAGGAAAAAGCTGCAACAGAAGGAAATGTGTGACAGCTATATGACACGACAAAGAAACTGGCAGGCAAATATGGTAAACCAGAGAGACCAGTGAAAGGAAAAGAAGGCAAGTCAATAGCTGAGATTTAAGGACGGAAAGGCAAATGAGTGGAACATTTTCAGCAATTTTGAATAGGACAGCTTCACTAAATCCACCGGACACCAAGGCAACACACACAAACCCTCCCATAGATGTCACTTCACCAGCTATAAAACAAACTAGGATGGCCATCAGAAATATCAAGAGTGGGAAAACATCAGGACCTGACAGTACACCAGTTGAAACAGTGAAGTCAGACATGGCAGTAAACGCGAACATGCTTCGGGCGTAAGGGCAGGGATTAGAAAAGTAAGAGACACGCCCATACAGTTGAAGAAAATATGGAACTCAAAACATCTATTCGCAAGCCAAAACCAAAGTCAGAATCTCCAATACGGACGTCAAAACAGTCCCATTGTAAGCAGCTGGAACCTCCAAAACCACTACCACCGTCATCAAATAATTACAAGTATTTCTAAACAATTGTATACGTAGGATACCTATTGTCCGTTGACCGGATACCATCAGCAAGTCTACTGTGGAGGAAAACAAACTGGTTTCCGGCTGAAGAGGAAATTAGGAAAAGATTCTGGATGCGGATAGGAAATACACTGATGAGATCATCAAACTGCATCACAAGGTAAGCGCGAACTCGGAATCCTGAAGGGAAAAAGGAAAGTGGAAGATCAAAGAACAATCTATGTCAAGAACTGGAAGTAGACATTAAAATGGTAAATAGCAACTGCAAAGAACTGGAAAGATTTGTCTAGGACAGAGTTGGGTGGAGAATGCTAGTGAGCAGCTTATGCTCCTTCACTACGGGAAACAAGCGTAGGTGAGCAAGTATCAGAAGCATTATACCTCGATCCGGTGAATCGCAACAGTCTCGGGAAGGATCACAAATGTTTACAGGTGCTGTTTATCTATTTTAGGAATGTGGCCTGCAGCCATACGAATTCGGTTATACGCTTTCACGAAGTCGATTTTCGGGAGTATAGTTGTGTCCTTCAAGGTGTCTGTCAGGCTATTGATGTGCTATCGAGTGGGTTTGTATTGATATCGGTCATAACCACACAATCCTCAAAGCTGAAAGTGAGATAACTGGGAAAATAGATATTCATTATTTAACATGAAGAGAAGGCCAACAATGGTGAACTCGGGAATATTCAGTTGAAATAAATCGGATGGCATGGCTCAGCTTTGATAGCGCGGTCATTGTTTTGTAACTTATCTCTTTTATTCATACTAAATATATCATTCTATCTCCAGACTGAATATGTTCACCAGACGTAGGCAACATCATATTAGTAATTCTTGCAATAGGATGAGTCAGTATAAACGATGGTGTGACTTCCGCATAAGATCTTAAGGATTAGTTAGTCACATCATGATGAGTCTAAAATTTTAGGATTAGGTCTATCGTTAGAGCAGTACTAATAACGAACGTAGACCACATTTCTGCAGGGTTTTCGTAATGAGTCGTCATAATCGTCAAGTGGATGCCAACCATTGCTATCCTTTTAAAAGATCATCTCCATGGGAGGTGCCGATGAGTTGTTTGATTGCCGGATAACTCCTAAATTCATAATATGGTCGAACTCGTATTTATCTTAACTTAGCTTTCCAGGAGCCGTCGGTAAAACGATTTTAAGTTAGGAAACCTGTTGTACATGCATTAAAATAGGGAAATAGAGTAAAGTATTTCCAAAACAATAGGAATGGGACGAATTTACAATAAAGAACTTCGAGCGTGCAGGATTAGCTTTCAATCAGCAAAGTTAATCAGATGTGGGAACATGGGTTTAAGAATCTTTCCTGCAAAATTCGGAATTTCTTCTCACCCTAACAATTCGGTCTCACTCCTGTATAACCAACTTGCTGACCGAGGTGGACGGATGGACAACCATCCTTGATCGGACGGGAAGCCTGATGTCATATAACTTGACTTCTCAGAATCCTTCGATAGGTTCAGTCATATATGTCTTATCGACATACTTAAACAGTTAGATATCACGTCAAGGTTGAATTATTGGCTTACTTCATATCTAACTAATCGACTTTCGAAGATCATCGTAAACTTCACTCTTATCAGGCTATGAAGTGTTTTAGTAGGGTCCATCAATGCTCAATATTAGGACCTCTTTCTTTCTTATTCTCTATAGATGACTTTCCTCAGCAAGTGTCGTCTGATTTATTGCTTCCAATGACAATGTGAAACTGCAGATGGAAGTTTGCAACTATGATTATAAGCTGGTGCTTCAGGAGTATCCGACTCGACTTCAAAGTCGGGAGGATAGCAACGAACTTACTTTTAACACTTCAAAGTGTAAAGTATTTTATCTGATACATACTGGGACGAAACAGCCGTCCAATGCTTCCAGGTTTTCGTTGGTGGTCTAGCTTGGATCGCCTCGTGAAATCAACTGTTAAACTACTAGGATGTCCACAAATCCCCAAACTGACAACCAAGAGTTCTAGAAGTAGTGCAATTTAAGGCAGGTAGAACTAGATGAGGACAAATGAACGTATTATATTTGGAATTCATTATCGGCAGGCAATCAAATACGAAGGAATCATAAGTTAGTACAAATACTACACTCAGTTCGAGAGGTATCCCATGTTGAAAAAGATCTAGGAGTGTCGGTACCCTATGATATGATATCTTGCGCTAACTCAGACAAAAATGCGTTTTTGAGCAAACCTTGCACTTGCATCTTCGAAGCGCATTTTTAGCCAGTTAGACGCAAGAGCTTTACACCTAATTCCCGACAGTTTTATTCAACTCCACTTAGAGTATTATAATATAATGTTTCACCACTCATTCCAAAAGGATAAGAATACATGGCTAATCACAAAATCAGTTTGGGAACCCGAATTCGGACATTATGAAGAGAACCCAAAGCCAATGGATCTTTACCCATTAGATCATAGGAGTCTTAGAGGTGACCTTCCAAAACACTCTTGAGCATCTCCCTAAATATCTGCTTAAGCTCATTCTAGGCACAAATTTTGAGGGTTTAATCCAGAAACTGGAGACAGAACATAGCAGAACGGTCTTTAAACATACTTTTTACGCTTTATGAGTAGTCAAATTCTGGAATCCGCTAACATCTGAGCTAGTTCAGTCGACTTCCCAGGAGCTCTCTAAGAGGAAACATCAGTCTTCAGTAATAAGAATAGTAGGTTGGTGAACCTGTGCTAATCCTGACAGATCGCTTTCCAGTGAAGGTTCAGCTTCCCCTTGAAAATATTCACTGATGGGGCTGATGCCACTTGTTCGGGTAAGGCGTTCCAGTCATTGACTACTCGATGATAAAAACGGGACCCCACTTTAAGTTTATTAGATCGTGACTTATGAACCTTCTTGCCATGACCTCGGAGATAATTAATGCTGGAGAGAGCAAAAAGATAAGACACATCAACACCCAAATCATAATTAAAGATATGAAATGCCAGTAAAAGATCACCTTGCATCCTACGATACGACATGGGGAAGAGGTTGGACGTTTTAAGCGCTCATCATGAGGGAGTTTAGAAAGACCCTTCAATAATTTTGTTCCCACACGCTGAACACGTTTAAGTGAGTCAGCATCATTTACCAGACATGGGGCAGCTGCCTGAATACAGTACTCTAAGTATGGTCTTACATAGATGGGATACAAAATTCAAAATATTTCCTCGTCAAAGCATTTGAATGCTCGGTGATGTGACCATAAGGCAAGAGAACCTTTGACAGTATCTCAACATGATCTACTAATATTTATTACCCTTGTTGTCAAATATACCTAGGTTCCTACCTGGTAGCATCGGTGATCCACTGCTACTGGATGCGGAAGCTCGTCAAGTGAGAGCTTCTTCTATTCCGTCCAGAACAATTTGAATTTATATAGAAAAATACAATACAGCAGTTGTAAAAAATTAACATAGGCCACTAATTTCATAGGAGAGAAATCTGACTCATAAAGATGACTATGTGTTAGTTCACCGAAATGAGTTTTAATATGCCGAGATTGAAGGTATAAGTGATCAGCGCGTGAAGTGTTTTTGTTGCCAAATGGCCAATGCAGTTGATAGGTTTATGAAATGTATGCGTTCTGGAGCAGACCCAACTAAAATTCTTGACGAAATCCAAAAGTAAAAAATATATTTACCGTGTCATTTTTAGTCTTCTTTCAACCAACAGTTTTTCTGGAATTTCGTGTGCAAACTTAGAAAAGTTGGTGTTTGGTCCTGAAGGGCTTATTAGATTTTGCGAATCCTCCACTCAGAAGAGCGAATATGCAGTTGAATTTATTTTAATGCTTGTAAGGTTCGGAGTATTGTAGGTTTGACGTCATAACATTTTCTGACAAAGCAGATCGATTAAACTTTTGAATCTCAAACGAAAGGACCATCTTGTGTCTGTGGTTTTAAGTGTTACGAAAAACAGCAGGAAAGAAGAGCTTTGGATCAGCTGTCTTTCACTGTTGACAAACGAAAATCTTGCTGAGGCTATTGGTTCTTCTAAAATTCTAGTACTGCTAAATATTAACTTATATTTCAGTCTGATATGACATGTGATTTCTTTCTGCAGATACATACTGTTGCCACAAAAAGCTCTAAAGTTTTGGAGCAAGCATCCGCCGCTTTCTATAAGTAAGTTATGCGTGTTGTCTTGGAATTCTGATTATAATTGCGGACTAAGTGGTTACGTGATCTTTGTTTCTGCCTTTGAGCTCATGATAAAATTTTCCACGAACATCGTTGTACTTTTCGATATCTGACTGTATCACATTTCCGTTAAAGTGTACGAATCTAATGTTCTCTTTAACTGATAGCAAACTAGCTCACATCTACCCTGATGATGTTACCGATGTCAAACCCATGTCTGCCCCTAGTGTAAGGTCGTTTACAATTCATGTGGCATCTTAGTTGTGAATGTGTCTCTGTCTAGCACACGTCGTTTGAATGTCATTAGATTATTGTAATGACTGTAGCATGCATATATAGTATCCCAATCAGCGTCTTGCAATTATTTGGATTGAGAATGAAACTCAGTGTCTAATTTGCAACCTGAATAATTTATGAGGCCGAGAACTGACGAATTATCATTTTGGATCATCTCATCGGTCAATTAACTTGTTTCCTTCTAGGCACTATGTGTTGTTAGACGAGGTCCTCAAGATGCTGGGGATTGATGACTTAGGATTCTTGGTAAAACTCAAATATCGTTCAATATAACAGTAGGCCATCTATTTGTATTCTTTCGGACGCTTATTCGTATCACTTAGAATGTTTTTCGTGATTAGTCGTCTTCACTCATATCTTCAGCTGGTTTTACTGTTCATGTTACAAATTAAAAAGAATTAAACTGCTGCACTATTACGCAATGTATCCTATCGTTTTGTCCCTGTAGCTATTTAAACATTTTCGTTTGTTTTAGAGGAAGATATAATGAACTGATATTTCCTCTGTAGGTATATTCTACTTCCTGTATAATGAGCCCAAATTATTTTATCTATGGTTTCAAGTAACTAATCCGCAATTGTGTGGGTAAATTATTTATTTATTTTAACACATAGATATTGGTACAAGGAGGCACCAAATACATATGCGCCACACAAATCTCATTCGATGTGTGAAGGCTGTGATGCTGCCCGGGTGCCCAAACCGAAGCAGGTGGTTTTTTTAGGGGGCCACACCCGAGCCTTCGACCTGAAGGTCTGATCCACAGGCAGTGGAGCATCGTAAGGAGATGCAGTCCCATGGAAGCCGGTGACCGACGATTGGTTCATACGCCTTTTATTACCGCAGGATACTGGAGCCCATGTGCACCATTAGTTTGGAATCCGGTTAAAGCGCCGGACATTCGCTTTTCGTCCTCTCATTTTTGTAAACAACACCCCCGCCACGAGAAGGCAGTGAGTAGGACTTCCATAGCAGAAGTTGTATACGCGTGGCCATGTGAGAGTATTTCGAGAGGGAGAGCGGACTCTTCCCACTCTTGGCCGTACCAGGGCATTTGAGGGTAAATAGAATTAGAAGGAATGTTTTTAATGTGGAAGTTTGCATGATCCAGGTTCATGTTTTCAAAAACTGTCCAGGTCATCCTGGGTAGTTTTCCTATCATATGTAAAGTAACAAAATTGCCGTTCATTTATAGGCTGTGGGAGTCCCAAGTTGATCTGTTTTTGCGCCAACCTACTTTATCGGCTTTACATTCTGTGGTCCAAATCCTGGCTTTTGGCATGGCTCTGGCTAAGCTTGTTCCGGAGAAATATATACAAAAGTTAGGCCGCTTGTCTGGAAAACTGATCGATGTCGAAAGGAAGTTACAGAGTAGTGGTTTAGTACCGAAGGCCCACTTTTTCAGCATGCGAGAGGTTGTTGACTTATCTCCCATGGTGAGCTTACTCAGATCATCTAGTTGTGTCCTTTGTAATGTTATCTAGTTGTAAAAGTATTTTTTGCCTATGGGATTTTCGTAATTTATCGGTGTAAAAGTTTCGCCAGCTTTTTTTACACAGTGAACTTGACATGCGTTTCATTTGTTTATTTCTGATGATACTGATATACTGTTTAAGCTCCCAAAACTTACTGTTAACTGTAAACCATCATCAAAGTTAACCTCATCGACTGAGGTGGTAAGGATATTGATTACATACACATAACCACCTGCTTCGACGGGCGGTGCTTTCTATTGCAAAAGTAGGTAGAAAGAAAGTTGAAAACGACCGAACTAAAATGTAGGATCACTCCACGAAATCATTAACTGTAAGTCAGTGATTTAGTAGATGCAGATTATTTAGTTGTGGTCCACATTATAATCGTTACCGGTGATTGGAGACTGGTTGATGTCTCGGAATCAATCACAATAGCATAGGTCCATTCACGCTTTATATCCCTATAAATCCCTATAAACCTTGAGTCTCAATATTTCTCTACATATAATTTTCCACTCTGCCTTATCAAACCATATTTCAAAGGTTCAGTATTCTTTTATATCACTGTTACTACATTATTTAGATCTGTTTTGTTATTCTCGTCTCGTTGTCGCGTTAATCTGGTACGGTTTTTGCCTATTAACGACTATAACTAGGAAATAAAGTCCCAGTAAAGCTGCTCTGATATTCCAACAAATTTCTTTTGGTATTATGGTCGTGAAATCTACCAATGTTTATCAAACCTGTGGTAATTAACGAAATTACTACTACTGTTACTTTTTCTTCTACTACTATACCAAATTGTCATCCTGTATACTAACCGCAGGTACTATGTGGATATTCAAGACACGATTAAGAGAAGTAGGAATTTATAGTCGATCACACCTTTATAGTTGCTTCAACTGAAATGAGTATTTTTTCGTCCTAGTCATCCAACCACTTTAAAGCATGAGTAATAAGTTGATGTTGTCCTCCAAATGTGATTTTTATTTTTGAGCTTGTTTCTCTACATTTAAACTTACAAGAAGATACAGTATGTAGAAAATATGTGTTTTGCGTTACGCGTTGATATCCGTATTCGTACAACACATCTACTTAACCTTTACATTTATCATGATCTGAATATCGTTGGTGAATTTATATTGTTTATTTATTTATTTGAACACATACATATTGGTACAAGAGTGCGCCAAATATATATGCGCCACACAAAACAATGAGAATTTAAGGGGAAGGAAAAAGAGAGAGAATTATAACTAGGAGATTGATGCAAGGTGGTGTAATAATAATGGTAAAAATGGGGGAACGGAAAGGTACAATCAGAAGAAATCTTTCAGTTGAGGAAGATACAACCACTTTTTATGAAGAAAGTAAAAGGTTACAGCAGGATTGCCACTGGCTTATATTCTGAGCCATATTTGATAACGTCTCTAGCCACTGTGTAGCACCATCTCTCGGACCCCAGCCAGAGAGTCGTGAAGGACCAACAGAAGCCAGTCCTTTGCAGCTTTCTTTCATGCCACGACACCATGTCATATACTAACTACCTCTCCGCTTTTTCCAACCAGTCCCAGAGTCGGCAAATAATGCACGACGTGGAATTCTCTGGGACGACATTCGTAGAACATGTCCAAGCCACCGAAGTCGGTTTTTCAAGATGGTGACACCGATTGCATTATCATCTCTGTGCCCGAACACACGATGCCGAACCTCTGCATTACTACTGACATGGTGTTGCCACTGGATGTCAACAATCCGGAGACAACGATGATCGAACACAGAGAGTCGTCTAACGTCCTCAACTCGGAGAGACCAGGTTTCACAGGCATAGAACAAAACTGCTCTCACCGACGCGTTGTAGATCTGACCTTTTACAGCCAAACTAACATTGCGAAGGCGCCAAACGTTAGTATAAGCCGCTCTGGCTTTCACTATACGTGAACTGGTCTCATCGCTCACGCGACCACCAGCACTTTCGCAGCTACTCAGATACATGAACTTCTTGACCACGTCTATCCCCTCACTACCCAGGGTGAGTGCAGTATCTGGGTTCTGACAGTTGTAAAAGTACTTTGCACTTCGAAGGTGCAAAGCACATACCATACCTATGGACACTATTTGTTAATTGACTAAGTGCGGATTGCATGACTTGGGTATCATCGCACAATAAGACAATACCATCCACACACTCAAGGTCGAAAAGTCTCTAAGCAACAGATTCACACCACCATTACCTACATTCTTCAGAGCTGTTTCCAGAATATCATCGATGGCAAAGTTAAAGAGGAATAGTGAGATTGGGCAACCCTGCCTAACCCCACTGCTTGAATGGAACAATGGAGAAAGGTGGTTGTATGCCCTCACTCTGCCTGAGGTGTTTGTATATAGGGATTTCAGGATGTTAATAAACTTCTCAGGCACACCCTTCTTCAATAGACCATCCCAGAGAACAGTCCTATCCAACGAATTGAAGGCAGCCCTGATGTCAAGAAACACTACGATTGTTGGCCTTTGATAAGTATGACGGTGTTCTAACATTTGGCGGAGGGTGAAGATATGATCAATACATCCTCGACCGGAACGAAAACCAGCCTGCTCCTCGCGAGTCAATATTTCTCGGGTTTTGAACAACCTACGAAGTATGACGGAAGCCAATAGCTTGGACGCAATCGGAAGTAGACTTATCCCCCGATAGTTGTTACAGGAACGACGTGAACCCTTTTTAAAGATAGGGACAACTATCGACTCATTCCATGAGGTTGGTACACTCTCTAGTTCCCAGACCTTTGTAAACAGCGTCGTCAGTCCCTTAGTCAGAAAGTCACCACCATCTTTAAAAAGAGTCGGAGGTAAGTCATCTGGGCTTCCGGTAGTTACCAGATGCAGCTGCTGCTTCCAGCTCATTAGCACGCATCGACCACCAGGCTTCTCGGTCCTTACGCAAGCTTTGCCCAATTTCCTTACGTAACATCCTTCGTTTGTGGTCAAACTCACGGTCACCCGGAGTAGACCGACGGGCTTCAATGAGTTGTAAGGAACCTGAAGAAACCCAGTGCTTAAAGCGGGACGTTTCGCAAACCCACAACTGACTGTTCCCGCCATTTTCATGGCGTCATGCAATTGCAACCAATGCTCATCTATACTTTTCGGTGGAGTGGTAGCTAGCCTAGAGGCTAGCTCGGTTCGATACTTACTTGCAACAGAAGTTGCAACCAGCTTGCTAACATCAATCCGTTGATGGCGGTCACTTCGTTGTCCACTGAAAAGTAAGGTAAGATTGGCGCAGACCAAGGCATGGTCAGAGTCCAGATAGGTACTCCAAAAGGAGCGGCAGTCTTGTACACAACCACGCCAGCGGTAGCTGATCGCGATGTGATCAATCTGAGTCCAGGCTTGAGATGCAGAGGGAGGACGCCAGGTGGCACATCGGCGATGACTGTGCCGAAAGTTAGTGCTAGCCAGAAACAGGTTGTGGTCTGTGCAAAGTTGCAGTAGACGGTCCCCGTTATCTGACCTGCGACCAACGAGTCCCCATCGGCCACCTAAACGACTCTCTTCTGTGCCTAGACGCCCGACCTGAGCATTCAAGTCTCCGGCTAGTACTACAATATCTGTCGAACGCACTTTCTGGAGAAGAACAGATAACTGGTGGTAAAACTCATCCTTGATTGCATCCGGGCTGCAATCTGTCGGGGCATAGGCGGAGATGACGAAAAGACATCGTTTCTCACGCCGATTTCTTCTCACTTTGATGGAACTTTCTAATCTAACAGCACATAACCGACTGTTAATGGGGATCCAATCGACTAGTGCTGCCTCAGCTCTAGCGCTTAGTGCGACACCAACGCCAGCAAGACCAGACGAAGATGCCACAGGGTCCCCGGATAAGCGCACGTAAAACAAGCTTTTCGAAGCGACAGATGGAGATCGAATTTGTAGTACTTCGCTAGAGTCTTGAATACGGGTCTCGGATAGACATCAAACATCGATATTAAGACTTTCCAAAGACATAGCCAGCCCTATCTGTTGTCCAACCTGCATAAGTATGCGAACGTTGAAGGCAGCCAGTTTGAATGGTGCACGTGGTTTCAGAAAAACTGCTTCAGTACTCTTATTCGGTGGTAACATACAATTTTCAACCGGACAGTGACTCGAAAACGTTTAGATGCAGTCGAATTTCCACCATAGACGAGCTGCTGTATAAGTCGAAAAAAAGTATAAACAGAGTGGGAATAAAAGAGGGTGAATAATGACGTAGTAAATAATAATAATAATAATAATAATAATAATAATAATAATATTGCGAGTCACTTGATTGTTATTTGGAGCGAGAGTAATATTTTTCATAAGTAGATAGTTTATCATGTTTTTATGTGTGGGCTGTGATACTGCTCGGGTGCCCAAACCGAAGCAGGTGGTTATCTTAGGGGGCCACACCACGAGCCTTTGACCTAAAGGTCTAACCCACAAGGCAGTGGAGCATCGTGAGGTGATGCAGTCCCATGGTGCCGGTGACCAAGGAATTGGTTCATACACCATTTGTTATTTTAGGATACTTGAGCCCATGTGCACCATTAGTTTGGAATCCGGTTAAAGCGCCGGACATTCGCTTTTCGTCCTCTCATTTTTGTAAACAACACCCCCGCCACGAGAAGGCAGTGAGCAGGACTTCCCTGGCAGAGGCTGTATACGCGTGGCCATGTGAGAGTATTTCGAGAGGGAGGGCGAACCCACTCCGCTCTCGGCCATACCTGGGCATTTGGGGGGGGGAATTTATATTTTTGTTCTAGATATATCAATAGTATAAGAATATGTTATTTAGTGATTTTAAATGACATGCTTTTATTTTTAGAAAATGCTTTCAATGATAGCCGATATTTTGTTGCAGAAACCTGGTCCAGTTCTGGTTATCCTCAAGCAACTTGTATCCATGTTTCCCGCCGTAAGTCCTGAGTTACTTGTATCAAGATAAAATAGTTTTGTTCTTTATCCTAGGAGTTATGACTAAAAGACAGTCCACCTCTATGGTCCTGTTGGGAAGTCTGACTAAATTAGCTATCTATCGATACTAGTTAGTTATTGTCTGGATCGTAAGTTTTTTTGATGGACTGCTTGCGTGTGAAGATATTAGCAATCGAGCAATCTTGAGGTCCAGGACCTGGAAGGTAAGTTGGCTGATACTACTGATACTACTGCAGTACAGTCGAAATCGTTGTCCTGAGGTTTTGTGTCATGTGAATCAGTAATATGCTGAGGAATAGCAATGAGTTCCTAAAGCAGTTCATAAGGTGGCTGATAGTGGATTGCGTAGGAAGGTTCAGTGGGGTCTTTGGTATGGTAATAACAAGTAGCTGAAGACCGTAGGTGACATCGCTGTTTTCCTGTGATAGTGTAAATGTATTTTTGAAGTCATTAGTCAACCAGTGATCAGCAACATAGGACCTGGTACAAAGGTATGTCGTGTTGCCACACAACACAGCGAATGCAATTAATGATATGAATACTATGGTCGTCGTCGTATTATTATTAGTGATAGAAAGAGAAATTGTTATAAAACAATACGGTTTGATTAAGAAGAAATTACTTCGATAAATAAGAATTACATGATAACACTGAAGCCCAGGATCCTGGGGGAGATAAAAAATTGTATTTGAGTCGCCGAAACCAGTTTGTGTTTGAGCATTTTGTTGCCAAGCATTTTCTCTCTCGAAATACATTATTTTTATATGGTTTAATATCCCTAGTTTTTGGATTTCTCTTCGATAGACGTAAGTTGTAGCAACTTTAACACATGAAAATTTTTCGGAATTTGTGTTGACTTTTATATCTACTCTATAGATAGTGTATACAAGTTACCATGGTATTCTTGGGTAACCAGTAGTATTACTTACATACTAACAGTAGTCTTAGTAACAGAGCTCTATGTAGGATTCAACTATCAAACGTTTGTTTTAGGTTGTGTTGAGCTAATGGAGTCATCCAAAAGAGTGCTAAATCAACTTTTAAGAAGTACCATTCCTTCAATTTTTTTGATAATAGTTGATGAATTTTGGATTAGTGGCAAATTTTACTGTTGTTTTTATCGTCTGTTCAAGTCAAATAACAGTTAACAACTAGGTGTCGATAGCGTTTTATACTACTTCAGGTATCACGGGTATTGTATGCGTTAACACTATGTAGCACAACCATTTATTAACTACATAAACCACTGAAGAGACTAATTTGTGCAGAAAATCAATATAAAGTTTTCAGAAACCAGTAAAGGAAAATAAATATGCGTTATATTTTATATATGATTCTGATCGGATTCACATTAGTTTTGAGAACAAAATGTATCAGGCTTTTGTGTTTTCTGTCACGACTGGTAAGCAAAATTTCCAAAAATATTTTTGTTTAAAATTTCAAGTATATTATGCACCTAAATCAGTTTATTTCTATTGTCTTTTCCATAATCCTTTTCAGTTCATAATGGACGAACCGTCTCTAGTTAAAATAATCGAAATCCTAATGTGTGCAATCCGTACGCCTTCTCAAGATATAGGTAACATGAATAACGAAACAAAAGATCCCGAAGAAATATCTGAAGAACCAGCTGTTTTATCTCTGGATATCTTCATTAAACTAGTTACAACTTTATCCAGTTATGGTTCAAAGTTTAATGGTATGGATTTTCATTCATTCAAACCAAACTACTCAGTGTTTACGCTTGTTGCTGATACATTTGGTCATGATATTAAAAATACTGGATAAAGCTGGTCTGACGCTTTGAAATCGTTGTTTCATTTTGAATCATTAGTTTCTTGTTTTGATTTTATTGATATATTTGTGTAATAGAAATAGATAGGTTGAATTTTGATCTTTTTTTCTGATTTGGTTTATTTTAACAGATCTCCCTAGACTATTACTCCAGCTTTTTGATCTACTTAGAGCTTTTCCAACTACATTAGCTCATTCAGAAGCTCGCCTATTTGCATGGTGGCATTTCATTTGCTGCTTAAATTCAGATTTACTTATTGATGGTTTTAGAAAGGTAAGTTACAAATTGATTATTAATTTATTTATATGATTAGTTGTCTCATTATTGCTTGTAATCATGACAGGTATTTCCTCCATAACTGTTACCTATTTATTGGTCAGTACATAGATTTGCAATAATTAAATTTTTTTTGAAGTGTGATAAATGGAATCCGACTTTAGTTTACGGAAAGAGATCGTATAGTTGACGTACTCCACTGATTACTTGGTATTAAGTTTTACTTAGTTTTTATATTAAAATCCGTATGTAGTCATTAAGTTAAATTATTTTCTCAAGTACAATGACGTATCGACGCTGTTATACATCTTAACTTTAGTTGGACTTTACCTGTGAATAGCTCGTGATTGTGTGTTGTATGTGGTTTAATTGAGGATTATATAAGACAACATGAAATCCTTTTGATCCTTCACCTTTTTATAACATGTCGTGTTCTAGCCGTGATACATAACGATGTCTAGCTATTGTTTAGATTGTTAACTGATCCCTTTCTTTTTCGCCTACAACTAAAGTAATATTCAAAATCGACGAAGGAATGATAATGATTGTTTTATTCAATTATTTTATCGACAGAGACCTAAAAGTCTGAATATGAATGGAACTTGTGTTACAGTTTTCAATATACATAGTCTCACAGCTGACTAATTCGAGGCCTTCAGTGGTTGAAGACGTTAGTGAAGCCTTTCCGAGAATCATCAGCAGTAAACTAATTGGTTGGATTATGTATTAAGTCACAATATTCCTTTATTATGCAGTCAGTATTTACCTCACCCTTTTGTTCAGTTACTATGATCACCTGTCAGTGTTTGTTTACTCATACATATAATCAGTCTTCCCTAAAAAGATTATCTTATTTTCTGCAATGCTTTGTTTTACAGTTTCTATCTCCTTTCCTGGCAAACCTTTTGGGACGGTACTTGAGCATCAGTACTCCACAAGGAGATCGTAAGTTTTAGGATACAAATGTCATCGATATTTACTTTTATTAAGCAAAATCAAAACCTTTATTGAATGGTAAACTGTTCATTTGTATTTGAGCTTCTTTTTATTTGATTAGTTGTAGTAAACTTAATTGTCAGGTATGTTTGTGTTTAGTTTATGAAATAGTAATTTTTCTCAAAGGACATTGTTACCGTATGATTTCTTTTTGATAATAATTTTTGGGATGTAACTCATTTATCTGTCTTACATCATTGAAATTAGGGCAAGATATTTTACTCACCTTCAATGGTAATGTTGTGTTTCCATCAATTTGAGACCCAATATTTTCACTTTTTACTGTAATCATTGCATCATAATGTTTTAGGTTGGTAACAGATTATAGAGTTCAACGTTTGATCACTGGATCATAGATTTCATCCCTACTCCATCTACTTGGGTTAAGGTACCTTAGTGGTAAGCTAAATAAAAATAGCCTTTATATGGAACGAAGTTTAGCCTAAAGATAATTTTGATTGAGATCATGAACCGATTGATGTTAGACCACCATTGAAGACCTGGAAGCACTGAAAGGCCGTTTCGTCCTATCGTGGGACTCCTCAGCAGTGCTCACCCACGATCCTGCTTGCGGGACTCGAACCCAGGGTCTTCGGTCTCACGCGCGAACGCTTAACCTACTGGACCACTGAGCCGGCATCAAGTGGTGTTAATGTCTAACCTCAACCAATCCACGAAGTTGCGCAACCATCTTCCATTGTACTGAGGTAGATGCCTGTTTCTACCCGACACGGATTAGCTCCGCTGGTCACAGCTTCTCACCAGAACTCCGAGGATTTTCTCACGAAGGTAGTCACTAGTGAGTATATGGTAATTATCATTACAGGGGGTGTAGAGATTGTTAAGTTTTGATTGAGATCATGAACCGATTGATGTTAGACCACCATTAAAAACTTGGAAGCACTGTACGGCCGTTTCGTCCCATTGCGGGACTCCTCAGCAGTGCGGGATCGTGGATGCTATACTAAAGATCGGTATATAGACCTGTTTCTGGGTACTAAGTTGCATGTAATTTATGTGTGTCAAAAAAGCATTGCACGACTTCAACAATCCATAAAAGCATATTCATCTTAGTTATGCAATGATCCAGTTCTTGATATACCATTTGTTAATAATAAAATGTACTTTACTATTAGTCTACAGGTGTCGACCGCTTCACTTATCTTGGAAGTCTCATCAGCCCTTGTGGTTTAGTGTGTGACGAAATCTCAGCACGAATACAGAAGGCTCGACTAGCTTTTGCTAACTTGCGTCATTTATGGCGTAGGCGAGATATCCGTCTATCAACCAAAGGACGGGTTTACTGCGCAGCAGTTCGTTCCGTCCTACTTTATGGCAGTGAAACATGGCCGGTAAGAGTAGAGGATATTCGTAGGTTACTAGTATTTGATCATAGGTGTCTTCGAAATATTGCTCGTATATCGTGGGACCATCGAGTAAGTAATACAGTTGTTAGGAAACGGGTACTAGGTAAGGATGGCAAATCAATTGATGAAGTAGTGAAACTTCATCAGTTGAGATGGTTGGGACACGTGTTACGTATGCCCAACGGCCGACTGCCTCGACGTGCTATGTTCAGTGGTATAGGAGTAGGTTGGAAGAAAGCTAGGGGCGGCCAAACCAAAACATGGCACAAGTCCATGAAGTCACTGACAAGTGGACTGAGTCATGTTGGTAGGTGTAGACTACCTGGTTGGGGACCGCGAGATGATAGCAACCGATGGTTAGAGACCCTGAATGACATGGCTCAAAATCGTTTGCAATGGCGCAGGTGCATCCACTCTCTGTGTTCTCCCAAATTCTAATCTTCTGAATCCTTCATGTCCCTTTTTTCCTCTTTCCAAATTTATTTCACTGTATTATACTCTTTAAATAACATCTCCAAACCCTAATCTTCCGATTACTGCTTATACTCTTGCTACCTCTACCACTACGGGATTTGAATAGACAACTGCATCTCTGTGCTAATGTGGTGTGGCAACTCGAACTGATGTACATATGTACGAAGTTCTACGTTGTTACTGACTGACTACAGGTTATCCGTCATATTTACCATTCTAGGTGTTCTTTCTCACTTGATTTGTCTATTTTGGTCCTTTTTATTAATAAGTCAGGGAGTGCTGTATATTTTCTTTCTGGGAGGAGTGAAGATTTGAGCTAACACACTATTGTGTAAAATTTCACATTCTTTTTTATCTTGTAGGGTTAATTCACAGCTTTTAAATGATCACATCATTTATTCGTATAGTTCTTTTCTCAGTTTATCAATTCATTCTATTTGTTTGACTGTTATTATTTGTTTGGTGTAGTTATTTCCTTTCTCTTACCAAGTGTACATATTTCCTAACTTTATTCATTTAGCTCAACTTCACCCATACAAACTTAGTCAAGGAAATGTATATGAAGGAAATGTAAAAGCCTTTGAACTTGTTCAACATGTATATAGCTGTTTTTTCAGTGAATCTTCAGTTAAATTTCATCAGTTAAACGGTAAGTTTGTTGTCATCCGTAATCCTACCCATGGAGCTAATAAATCCTACTTAATAAATCACTAACGTAAGAAAAGTCTTACTAATTGACGTTTTATTTAAAGCAATTAATCCCTTTGATAAATTTCGATAGTGTAATAAGACGAAGAAGATTATCAGAACTATGTCATATATTATTGCAATGGTTAATAATTAGTGATTGATAGTAATTTTGGCGTTAACATTGATCTTTAAGTTTATCGAAGAGAATCAAACAAACACAATGCAAAATTAGAGTTTATTCTTCACAGTTGATGTCAAACATCATAGATAGTTATTATTATTATTATTATTTCGACACATGAATATTGGTACAAAAGGGCACCAAATACATATGCACCAGACAAGTCACTTGGTTTGTGTGAGGGCTGTGATACTGCCCGGATGCACAGACCGAAGCAGGTGGTTTTCTCAGGAGGACACAGCTGGAGTCTTCGACCTAAAAGTCTGATCCACAAGGCAATGGAGCAACGTAAGGAGATGCAGTTCCATAGTAGCTGGTGACCAATAATTGGTTCATACGCCATTTGTTCCTTCAGGATGCTGGAGCTCATGTGCACCCTCAGTGTCCACCAACCCGGTAACGCACTGGATATTCGCTTTTCGTCCTCTCGATTTCGTAAACAACACCCCCACCACGTGAAGGCAGGGAGAGACAGAACATATTTGTCATTTTTCTATGACACATGTTAAAGTGGTTTTTGATAGCTAAGTTGACTGTATGATGTACTCTTTTATTCTCAGTTCATATTTTGATATGGCTTATTATTTTTATTTATTTAGTTCCTCGTTTATCTGTCAATAATCAACTATTGACTCAAAACAGTTATCCACTATTAGTCGGCCTTTTATACTGGATACGTAGTGTTTGTAAATATCGTTTTTCATTGTCTCCGGAAAAGTTGAAAATTCCTCACTGTTTACCTTCTCAAAGTGTTGATGTAATTTGGTGTGGTTGTGTAAATTATTTACTTAGAATATCCAAATCAATTCAAGAGCCACTAACATATAAGAAGGTATATTTGTTTTTGTATTCTGGTTATATATATATATATATATATATATATGAGTCGTAGCTTCATTCTTTTTTTGTAATAAACACATCGTCTTAGGGATCGACACAGTTTCATTTTCAAGAATCTCAATATTTAGATCATTTTAACTTAAAAATAACCGGTCTTAATTAGTATCACATGTAATGTATACATAATTTAGAATATTTTCTTAAATTATATGATAGCCATTGAAAACATTAGGAACCATTCATTCAAGCGTACATGTACTTTACCCTGCAAAGTATTCTCAGAATGAGCTAATTAAATATATTTTGACTGATATAAATCTTTGAAAATAACCATAACGTAGTGTATATGTATATATGGGTCTTCGTAATTTCCAACAAATCTTTTTATTTTAATTTCATTTTAATTGGTTGCTGTGATCTATATTATTCTTTATCTAAAAATAGGATTGGCCGATGTATCCATAAATATAATCATGAGCGTAATAATTCTAGAAAAGTTACCTTGTAGGATAGACGTTTACTGTTTGTGGGTCATTTCGTATTACTATTTGTTTTTATGGTTATTGTTCTATTAACAATTACCATTTGTATTTCATATGAAGGTTACTCCATTTCAATCCCCATCCCTCTATGTGCGTGCTTCAAGTTCGAGCTCAGCTATTTTATCCGTTTGGCAACATATTGTAACTGTAACTTGTGAATTAATCCAACCACACGATTTAATTACATCTTCTGGTCTGGACACTATACAATATTGCCCATCTCCATCGGAAAGCTTGGTTCGTAAAATGTTTTTTAAAATGCGTTTTTCACAATGGTTTAGGTAACTAGAACTATTTAACTTACTCCGTTTACTTTTAATTGCTTGACATTAAGATTCCTTCCTAACTAAATGTTTTTCTTAAATTGGACAGTCCTTTTCTTCAGTGGCTGTTTTGCATACCAAAGTTATGATAAATTATTTTTTCTTGAGGAATTTCTGAATATGCCGGATTAATGTCCATAGTCTTGTTGACTTGGAATAATGCCCCCAAATCTAGACTTAAGACTTTCTAAGCCCGATAAAACGTCACCTTTTCTTTGACTGCTTATTTTCAGTCTGGGTTGTTGACTTCGTAATCTTCAAACTCTAACATCGCAAATCAATTAAACAAAGTAGTAGCTAGGTCACATATACGATTTCCATTTTCTAAAATCTACTTCTAATCATAGGAAGGCGACATTTCTGGTAATGCTTGTTTTCCATATGAAACATTCTATTATTGTTATACGTCGGTATGGTCAATAGTTCACTGTATTAGTTTGATCTTTCCAAATGACCTATTTGTTATTGTAACACTAACAAATAAGTGTTTTATCCACGGTATTTACGATAGTTAAGCTTAGTTATGATGTGAAGTAGTGAAATTCTAGGTGCTCATTTAGATTAAGAACTTTTGGTTGTTTTTAAATGGAAATTAACTTAATTCAGTATAACTCTGTACACATGGACACTTATTGTTTTTAAGCTTTTAACTGTATTTGTTGTGTAAACATTCAAAAACTCACTTTTTCACACTTCACATCAGAGGATAACAAAAAAATCAGAACAATTTAAAATCTTTTACGATGACAAATGTCAAGAACTGAGAAATTAATTACCTAAAATCAAACAGAAAAATAATGTGTAACGTAGACTGATTTGTATTCAGTAGTCTATTTATTTATCCTTCGGTATTTTGAGAAAGGGGAATAAATAGGGTCTCCTTAAATGCGATAATCAGTAGCTGTCTCGTGACTGGAAGTTGTGGGATTGCTTACTATTACAATATACTGGTTACTTACTGTTCAAGTAATCACCAGTGCTTTCATTCAATTTGTTTTTTACGAAACTAAGTACTTTTTTGGTCTTATTGTGTCACAGTGTATAACTATATGCTTTGATAGTTCTTTTCATATCTGTTTTGTTTGTGTTTCGTAGAACATTATTCAGAACTTTATTCAGTTGTTAGAAGAATTTAAACTTCCAGATAAGGAAAAGGTGAGCTTTTGCATGTTAGTGTCATACAACTACAATTATGAATGGTTTTCGTACTTTTATGAATTTGATTATCATATATTCACTTGTTTGATTTAGTTACTAATAAGTAATTTTGTTAGTCTGGATTGTTTTATGTTAATTTCTTGATATTTTTAGAAAAAATCATGAAAATGCTAGTCAGTCAGCTACAACGTAAGACCAGGCACATATATGCGTCAGTCCAAGTTGCCACACCTCATTAACACATCAAGATGAACACCAAATCCGTAGAAGTAGTTACTTCAATGGTAGTAATATATAAAAGAAAGATTGTATGTAAGGATATAACACGGGAAGAAAGAATTAGTTCGTAGAAAGAAAGGTATAAAGTAATCTTAATATCACAATTTAAGGGAAGACGAGTGTATACACTTACGCCATTGTGATCGATACTGAGCCATGTCTCCCAGAGTCTCCAACCTCTGGTTACGATAGTCGCACGGACTCCAACCAAGTAGTCTGCATCAGTGTTTAGTTCACTGTGAAGTTATCTTTTAGTCTTTTATAATACATGACCTTAAATCAATATGTTGCAGTCTCACGTCTCACTCTATTCATTTTTTTACACAACTATATAATACCACTAGCTCTCCTGCAAAAAGGGCAACTCAAAGCCGACTATTTCAACTCATGTTCGGTAATGATAAGTTACAACAATATATTTATTTAAATATTTCTAAGTTGGTCAACCTTTCGATTCTCGTGGCAAGTCTATCCACTACAATTGTAGTTTGTGGTGGAGTTTCGTTCTCCGAGCTGGATACTTTAGTCGTGAAGCTCTCATTAATTTTCTGAACAATATTAGCATGAACCTGAGACAGAAGTGAGGTATTAAAACTTTTCCATTTGAAAGATGATGTCTACCCGTTCGACTTAATTGTGGAATCTTACAGATTCCTTTCGCTGAGTGTATATGCGGATGAAAATAATAAGTGGCTATTTATGAAAATCATAAACATTCAAAGAATTATTTATCCTTTAAATCAATGTCTGGTTAGGATGTCGTTTGACGTTTCTTCATTAATGTTACGCCACATATACAGACTATGTAGCTATTAGAAACAGCTACGCTAAACTCGAATGAGATATATTTTTCCTTATAAGTTCATAGGTAAATTAATGGACTGAATTTCTTTCGTTTTCTCTTACGCATGTACACTATTCTTCAATAGAGAAAAGACTGGTTGATGAAATTTCTTGTTCTAACAGTCTGATTATTGAATTCCTCATGGATTATTCACTTAGCCAAGGTCACATCTCTCATATCCCCTCTCTATCAGTCTGTATACCTATAAGTACACATTATCTTTATGTATATCCCTTCACCATTAGATATCTTAGCTTCAAAATTTTTTTTTCTTTTTTAGGTAAGTCAGTTAGTGATTGTGAGCGTGGATTAATAGTTGAACTATATCGTATTAAACTCACTTTATGATTTACATTTGTTGCATTTTGTTTGTTCGAAATAAATGTAATGGGGCTTCTAAGTGTCATTTTGTGCATGCACTCGGCGTTTTTGTACATTTTCAGATCGATTTGATATCTTCTCTATGTGTAAAATCTGCGGAACTTGGTGGTTTTTGGCTAAAGGAAAATTCAACGCGTAAAACTTTTTGTGTATCTCAGTTAGTTCTTATTTTTACTTGTCTTCATTGATGTATTTGTTTATGCAATTTTATTTTGTTGCTTTTAGTAATCATTACCATCAATGACCAGTAGTTCTTTCTGGTTTGTTGTTTGAATGTATTGTAAAGAGTTTTGTAAGAAAAAGTAAGTCGTAGAGTTCCAAACAGGTCAAATCATATGTTTTTCAGGATAGATTAAATACAACGATTAAAGCGTGTGTAAATTCGCCTCTTAATTTCTATACATCTTGTTAACTGATTGAACGTTCATGTTAGTGGTCAACCGTAATGTTTTACTACTGGTTCCAAGTCATGTACTATATATAAAGTGGTACAAACTCATACTTAATGATGCCTGTTGATAAAACTTTAAATTGATGAGGGTTATGTGAATACTCTCGAATCTTGATAAACTTTAAGTTTATCTATGTGCATTTAATTACAGATTTTTGACTTATTTATAACCGTTATCAGACAACTGATTCCCCTTGCATTAAACTGTAAATTTGTTATCTGTGTATATCATGGATGCTGCATACCAAAGCATCAAATCTCATAAAATGTCATCATTTTATTTTGACGCGTTTTATGGTTCAAATTTTGAGTTTTTATTAAAATTTCAGAGATGATTTTCATCGTTGGGGTACTCAAATTATTCGTCTTATTGATATGGAACCTCGTTTAAACTTGTCTAATAAATCAATTACGATGCACATTTTACGTTTAACTGGAGAACAACATTTTCTCAATTTGATCCGCCTTATTTTAATTGGATTATTATCAGATTTTGTGGAATTCATATCAAGCAATATTTCTTCACAGTCAAGTTTTAACGATGATTCAACTCAACTTTCACTTTCAAATTGTAATTTCTTTTCCACTGTTCATTTACCAAATAATGTTTTTTGTTTTAATTTCCTTAGATTTAGTAATTTAGTTTTTGACGAAGTTTAAGCAGTTTTATTCGAAACCAGTCAAATATATCACAATGCGTCGCTATGCAATATTATTATTCTACTTCAAATTTGTATGGGTTGTTTATAATAACAAAGGAATTTCATCTTAGTATATAAACGATTACATTCACAAACTTGTATTAGCTTATATAAGGTTATATGTTCGATGTAAAATTATTTACACTCGATCGTAAAACTTCAGAAATTCCATTCTATAACCATTGGGATATTTCAAATCTACTTTGTTTTGATTTCAATTCTCGTAATGCAAGTTTTTTTCTATACTCATTCAGGGGGATTGTGTATCTGATCCAAACCTACTACTAACCAGTTTTTAAGTAATATAATTCTTTAAACCTCTTGTTCTTATTTATATCTGACATTAGGTCCACCAGTTCGTTTTTCTCCTGATGCCCTGCGTGTATGGTCGGTGTTGGTTGACCGAATAACTCAGTTCATTTTAGATGAACACCGAGTGTCTGAGAATCAGTCAGCCATAGATATCGATTTGAGTACTGTTGAATCTGCGCTGCTAATGCCATTCTGGTTGGCTGGTGCTTCACATCCAAACACAATCAATGGTAATCACGATGGTTCATCTGATGCTTTCCAGGTATTTTGCCGTTTTATTTTCATTGTTCCGCGTTGGGTTAACGTTTGAACAGTGATTTAGTAAATGCAATAACGTTTTCGTATATTTTCAAGATTAGTATCCCATATGGAGATAAGCTTGATAATAAATTGATATCAATTGAATATATAATGCTAATCAGGAAACAGCCAACAATTATCTAACCACATTCTGTAAATGTCGTCCATTGTTGTTATATGATGTAATGGACTGTGTGTACCAGTGGTTAATTACAGTTAGAATTTCTTTTACATGTCATAGGTCAATGTAAGCACCTGGAACTTTGATTTGTATATTCAAAGATGTGTATCATTAAGAAATCCACAATCAAGATACAAAACTTATTTGAGAAGGTTTAATTTACAACAGATGTTTGACATTGAATTAGTTTCTTAGAAATCATCTTCATTTTAAAAATTATATGATAATTCAGATTAATTGCGCGGACATTTATGTAAAATTAGATGTCTATACGTGTAGCTGTTGTTCAAACAATTCCTGAACTTCACAAAATCACTGTGTTTCTCCTGTGCAATATTGCAGTCATAATTTTTGCTTAGTTTAAGTTTGTCGATCTATATTCTGTGACAAAAAATATTAGGTTCCCTAAAAGAAAAAAAATTCGTACTCATTATCCTCAATCTATAACAACGTATAGTTGAATGGATAAAATAACGTAATTTATTCATCGAATAAAGATTTTTTGTCATTTTTCTTTATCTAAACTGCTAATAACACTAATCAGTTTAGCGAATCGATGTAACTGAAGTGAGTTTTCAATCTGAAACTTAATAATTAAAATTCTTGTGTTTCATCCATTAGAACGACCTTTCTATAATTAATATTGTAAATTATTAGACGGAAAGTCCATTGAGATGTGAAGGTTGTACAGTGAAATTGAAATAGCAGTAGAGGTGTTACATCCGTTTAATTAAAGTATTCATTATTCGCTTAGCTATTATTATGTTATTATGTTTTAATTAGAAATAATTTGGTGTGCTCACTGTTAAAGAACTTTAAATAAAAAAATGTACACTGTGTTCAGTAGTAGTTTGGTCACAGGACTTGGTGCTTTAGTCGTGTTAGTTCACGATGAATGCGTTCTTTGTACTACATTTTAATTTGGAATTGAATATTTTAATCTTTTTTTTTTTCTGACATGTATTATCATCTCATTTTTTCTTCATATTTTATCTAGTACCTCTCATTCAAAGATAGTTTGGCTATATCAGTGCGCCAGTCTAATTTATTTTCAGCATTTCATCAGGAATGTTGTTTATTAACAACCGTTCCGACAAATGCTTGGATTAATCAACTATCTGTCAAACTATCCACACTTATTTTAAGTTATGCACCCAAGGTACGTTTTCTATATAGGTCACTATGATTTTTATTACAAAACCAAGTGTTGATTTGTAATTCGGTGTAAGTGCCAAAATTTTATACTGTTCCTAAACTCAGTTGTTGGTCAATATTTTACAGAATAATAGATGACTTCATAAACTTACTCTATGAGCTTAATTTCAGTTATTTTCTGAGTCGGCTAACATCAAATCACTGATGTCGTTTGATTTCATTTCCCAGGTTTTTATTTTCGTTTCTATGGTAGCAATGCTACGTCATACTTAATTGAAGAAGGATACGTACATGTGTACATTATTTTTAAGTGTTGAACCAAGGAAAAAAATTTTAAAGTTGGTTTTGTGTGTTGTAAAATGAAAAAATATTTAAAAAAGATTTAGTTGAACAAACCGTTCGTTATCTTCTATTTATATATAAGCTAATTATTTTTTGTATTCAAGTTCTAGTAAGGTGTAAATAGATGTACGCAAGTGTTTAATGTCATTTTTATTTAACCGTATTTAGCCTTTCTTTCCACAGTTAGTGTTTTACACCGGGTAGTTGATTCCAGTGAGTGCCTAACATGTCTACAACCTATGTTTGTTAATCAAATCGCTTTTTTTAACTTACCACAATTTTTTTCGGAATTTAGTATTTATTATCACTCACAAAATAAATACTTCATAGTCATCAGTAATCAAGATAGTTGAATGGAGATGGAGATATAATTTCTTCAAATTGAAGTGCTTTTCATACTAGACTATTTGTTTTTATTCAGTAGTTTATGAATAACATTTAGGAACAATATTATTGATTACATGTAAAAATCTCTGTTCAGTTTATTGACATTTTTTCTTCTCACTACATTATTTTAGTAACATATATTGCTTAAAAAAGATATGAACTAGTAGTTAGTTGTGAAGGAAGAATTTTATTTTCAAGTTCTACAATTCTAAATCCAAATTAGTAGCCAGTTTGAAGGCAATATACATCGTTTAAAATTATAGTACATGAATTTAGGATTGTTTGTAATATGAAATAAAATTGTTAATGTTGAGATAACTAATATGTACTACTAACTTGAATAAGCTTATACATTAAATGAAACTGGGAGATTAATGATCGGAATAAATATTGATAAGATAAGATGAGAGAAATATTAATTCAATTACAAATTCGATCAAATACTTAGTGGAAGATTAAATAGTCTATGAAGTTAAATGAATTTATTGAATGAATAATCATGTGTTCGGAAGAATAATAATAATGTTAAACCAATAGCAATACTAATCATTTAAAGGTATGGTAGTAAAAACAACATAAACAGTAATATTTCACTACGAGAGGTGGTAGGTGTGTTAATTAAATCATATCACTCTATAGTTAAGATTACTGTTGACTAATTATTGGTCCTGGGGTTGATAAGAGAACAGGTCGAATATATTTGTTTTGTACACATAGTTCCAGTTTCTTTTTCCTCTGAACGGCTACTGTTTCTGGAGTTTTCGGGACATTGAGTCGGACCGAGTTTTGCGAATTAATTAACCGATAAATTTTTGAGAAAGATTAACTTATACTGGTTCTATGATCAGTGTATTTTACTCTAATACCTGGCCACTTTTTAGACAATTTGGATATATAATTGTAGGATCAAAAGAGGATTTATTTAAAAGAATACTTTTCGCTCATATTTTTATATAGGGATGTGGTGTGGCAACTCGAACTGATGTACGTACGTACGAAGTTCTACGCTGTTACTGACTGACTGACTGAGGGATTTTTAAACAGTTATTATTCTTTTGATCTAAGTGTTTAGTTCCCAGTATCATACCTTTCGATTTCAATCAAACCTAATAAGGATTGTTGTTGTTTCATTCAGCGTATAATAATTCTGATTAATAATTTCGTAAATTGTTAAAACTATGCTTTTAACTAATAATATTACATTAAGTCAGAGTTTTCAAGATTTACGACATTTTTTTCTAATTTCATTTCATAGGTAATGGAAAACATTAATTTGCATTTAATTAGCCGTTTTGTGCATTGTTTAGCCCAACGTGCAGAAATTTATGAAGAAAAGGGAAATCAGAAAGGTACGTTTAAGATAAATTGTGATTTCCATTTTCTCGTTATGCGTATTTATCTCATTTTACCTCATGATGCTGCAATGTTTTACTATTGAACGTATTTCAGATACACACTGTACATTTGCTTCTGTAAAAATTGATGATCAACCACTTGGTCAACTTACTGGATTAGTTAGCTTGCTTAATTCATTACTGTTATATATACCATGGCTTCACCCTCCAACACAAACTGAAGTAAGTAATTAACTTATTGTGTCACTGCTTTTCTGAAGAGTAAAAATACAGGTATTGATCAAATATATATTCACTCTTGGTCAGATTTTAGAACATAAACATAGTTACTGACACCTGACTTTCGCTGTATTTGTTGACGCACATTTATACCAAATTTTACTTTAATAATGACTGACTTCTGAATCCTAATATTATTACAGTTCTTCAGTCTGTCAATTATAGAGAACGAGTGTGTTTCTACCCATATTACTACACCTCACATCCGAAGTACATCGGTAATATACAAATTATCAGACATATGGTCTACTAGAAAACTGTTGATTATAAGTTAGATTTCAGTTACCTGTTGTTGTACTTGAGTCTCTTGTTACGTTTAGATGGTGGTTGGAGGTAGTCAACAGGAAACCCTGGACCCGGGTTTCGTGCTACTTGGCACTCGTCAGCAAGGTGTACCTGTAATCTTGAGGGAACTGGTGCTCCCTGGCGGATTCGATCTCGTGTCACCCAGCTTCACAGTCAGAGACGTTACCACTGAGCTATCCGAGCTGTGACTAACCTCCTGTAGGACTGAGATGTAATCACAATTGATTGATCACTGGGTGGTGATCAATGTCATGCTTGTCTAGTCCTTATTAGTGCAGATCGAATGCTATCGATCATGGTAACGTCTCTGACTGTGAAACTGGGTGACACGAGGTCGAATCCGCCAGGGAGCACCAGTTCCCTCAAGATTACAGGTACACCTTGCTGACGAGTGCCAAGTAGCACGAAACCCGGGTCCAGGTTTCCTGTTGACTACCTCCAACCACCATCTAAATCTCAACACATAGTGCCCGCAGTGTCGAGTCACCTAGACTGGTGGCCACATTGCAACATGATCGATAGCATTCGATCTGCACTAATAAGGACTAGACAAGCATGACATTGATCACCACCCAGTGATCAATCAATTGTGATCTCTTGTTACATACTTGTCATGATATCAGACTAACGGACCTGAGGTCTCTGATCTCAAACCAATTGGCGCTTTGGTACTTTTTCCAAATTTGCCAATTACTGCATTGATGAGTTTACAATCAAATTTTTTCAAAAATACCAATATTCATATTTCTACTGCGTACAGTAATTTATATCTTTAATACTACTGTGAACTTTAATTATGCAGTATGTGATTGTAGCTGCCAACATCGCAATTCGTAGTTACATTATATTCCTCAAACCTTTGATTAAACCTTTGGAATTATTACATTTAGTGTGACGTAATCTGATGCTACACAGGATTTGTTATTGTAACTGATATAGTTCCCTTATTCTTCTTTTTTTACCACACATATACTAGTTACCTATTTTCTCATTCCATATTTTTGTATATTACCCAGAAAAGAGTAATACGTGTGTTCTGAAACATTTTTGTCTAATATTGAATATTCAAAAAACGAAGAATATTTGAGCGAACAATTGTTTTCAATAACTTCATCATCAGGCTCTACAGTTATAAGTCCATAATTATAATATTTTACAAAGGCCAAAAATAAGGCATGTTTTAATGAGTTTGACAATGTTATGTGTTAAAAAATGGTGAGCGTTTGCATCTGTTACGATATATATATATACTTCAAAAAATTGTAATATTTGCAAATTAGAAAGGTCATTCAATAAAGGTCAGTAAATTGTTCAGTCACAATAAAATAATATAATAGTACTATTGCAAAATTGAAAATAATTTTGTCAACTGAGATAATAATAATAATATTGTTGTGTGAATATAATATGTAATAAGGAGGGTGTTATCAAGGTAATTACGGTCAACAAATTGGGAATGATGGATATGAAGATTAAGATATAGATAATGACAAATAATGATAATAAGGAAAATAAATAAAATGAAGGAAGGAAGGGGTAAGAGGTTTATAATATTCAGTCTAGGTATTTGGTGATCCAGTCGTAGGCCAGGGTAAACATAGAGGCTGGATATATTTTTTCTGGATGCATAAATTAGGTCTTCTGGAGTTGATCCAGATGGCTTCGGCTGTGTAAAGTAGTCGTAATCTAGCTCCTTGAGGTAGATATTTTGGAACTTGATATAAAACAGAGAAAGCTTCCTCTATTTTAATATGATGTTCACTATCTACCAAGTGAGAAAGAATAGTGCTGTTAATCGATTTGGTGACTCCTTTTCCCAACCATGCTGGTACATGTTCACGAACCCGCAAGGATAAAGCCCTCTGAGTACGGCCTATGTAACTAGCTCCACAGGAGCAGTTGAATTGGTATACACACATGGAGGAGCCCATCTTCGGTAACTTATCCTTGATTAGTTGTGTGAGTACTGGCTTAGTCGATAGTGAACATCATATTAAAATAGAGGAAGCTTTCTCTGTTTTATATCAAGTTCCAAAATATCTACCTCAAGGAGCTAGATTACGACTACTTTACACAGCCGAAGCCATCTGGATCAACTCCAGAAGACCTAATTTATGCATCCAGAAAAAATATATCCAGCCTCTATGTTTACCCTGGCCTACGACTGGATCACCAAATACCTAGACTGAATATTATAAACCTCTTACCCCTTCCTTCCTTCATTTTATTATTTTCCTTATTATCATTATTTGTCATTATCTATATCTTAATCTTCATATCCATCATTCCCAATTTGTTGACCGTAATTACCTTGATAACACCCTCCTTATTACATATTATATTCACACAACAATATTATTATTATTATCTCAGTTGACAAAATTATTTTCAATTTTGCAATAGTACTATTATATTATTTTATTGTGACTGAACAATTTACTGACCTTTATTGAATGACCTTTCTAATTTGCAAATATTACAATTTTTTGAAGTATATATATATATCGTAACAGATGCAAACGCTCACCATTTTTTAACACATAACATTGTCAAACTCATTAAAACATGCCTTATTTTTGGCCTTTGTAAAATATTATAATTATGGACTTATAACTGTAGAGCCTGATGATGAAGTTATTGAAAACAATTGTTCGCTCAAATATTCTTCGTTTTTGAATATTCTATGGGGATTTTTAAACTGCTGAAATCTAGTGAGCACCCAGTTGCACTGAAGGGACTCAAAGTTCCTGAAGTATAGTGCGAAACTCACGGAAGCGAAAACTAATTTGGATTTTATTCGTAATTGCACCGTTACACACCGATATCCGAAAGACTATTGCAAATCCTTACGTCGATGTAAAATTAAACCTAACATTAAGTCGCTCAAGAGATATGCACTTAGCCAAATCGAGTCTCTTCAAACGTATATTGTTGAATTAGAAAGGAATATTACACAGAGATTATATTCTGTTGAAGACCTTCCCCCAAACTTAAAGGATTCGTTTATGACTTATGTCCTTGAAGTGCAAAGAGCGAGGGAGAACAAAAAAAGAATCGACCTAATCAAAGGACTAGACAAACAGATCTTTAAACCGGATTTTCCAGACGACTGTAAGCGGTATGTTTTCAACTTTTCCTCTGTTAATCTTGATAGGACTCAACTAGAAGTGTTATCATTAGGTCCTAAGTTTTGTGATAGTCGTAGACATGTGGATCATTTGAAGACTGATGTTCAGTTCGAGAATCTATTTACCCAGACACAAGACTTAAAACCCACGACAAAGGTCGAACATGAACGATTCAAAACCACGCTGGTTGATTGCTGTAACCAATTTAAAAGCAATAAGCACTACACAAATAGTATATTGACAGATAAACATCGTGAGGCCATCCGAAAACTCAAGTTGAATGAACACATTCTTATCACTAAACCTGATAAAGGATCGGGCACGGTAATTCTAAACAAGACAGACTACATAGATAAGATGAATTCACTACTGAGTGATCAAACTAAATTCCAAAAGCTTGGGTCATGTAAAGACCTCAATGAAAAGACCGAACGTCAACTAACTGCTGCATTAAAATTCCTAAATCAACACCAACACATCTCTGAGCATACCTATAATATGCTTAAGCCTTCTGGAACACATACCCCTCGACTATATGGTCTACCTAAGATCCATAAACCTGATATTCCTCTACGCCCGATACTGGATATGGCGAATTCACCATACCATTCAACAGCAAAATGGTTAGTTAAGTTATTAGAACCATTGCACCAAGAACTTGCTAAGCATAATGTTAAAGACGTCTTTGAATTTGTTGATACAATTAAAAATATGAATATAAATGGAAAAACCATGCTATCACTAGACATAACATCTTTGTTCACTAACATCCCTCTGACTGAAACTATAGATTACATATGTGAACAACTGATAGAAAAGAAAATAGAGATTCCTATCCCAATAAACAAAATGAAAGAACTTCTCTTGAAATGCACTATGAATATCCACTTTAAGTTTAACAATGAATTTTCCCGACAAGTAGATGGGGTAGCAATGGGATCACCTCTAGGCCCGATCCTTGCTAATATTTTTCTGACCAAACTAGAAAATGGACCGCTTAAAGACATCTTAAATAAGCTTGATTATTACTGTCGATACATAGATGACACATTAATCATATGTGACGAAAATATCGACAAACAGGAGATGTTAGACGCTTTCAATAATGTCCACCCAGCCATTAAATTCACCAGCGAGGAGGAAAAGGACAATAGCATAGCTTTTCTAGATGTCCGACTCTCTAGAAGGATAGATGGTTCCATAAAGCGAAATATGTTTAGAAAGTGTACATGGACGGGTCAGTATACCCATTTCCAAAGCTTCACACCTCTGCAATATAAAATAAATTTGGTTAAGTGTCTCAACCACAGAATCAAGGTATTATGTTCTGAAGACAGTGTGGAGGAAGAAATAGTTATACTAAAGAACACATTACGTAATAATGGCTATCCGGATAATTTCGTCAAAAAATACCTCGTACAAAGTATTAAAAAGAGAAGACATTGCGACACGGTCAGTAAAAAGACCTTATATCTGAAACTTGACTTTAAAGGCGACATAGCGGGTGATATTCTAACACGTCGACTCAAAAGATCTGTCGAGAGGACGTTTCATGCCGCCAAGTTACACATAACTTTCTCGACTAAGCCAGTACTCACACAACTAATCAAGGATAAGTTACCGAAGATGGGCTCCTCCATGTGTGTATACCAATTCAACTGCTCCTGTGGAGCTAGTTACATAGGCCGTACTCAGAGGGCTTTATCCTTGCGTGTTCGTGAACATGTACCAGCATGGTTGGGAAAAGGAGTCACCAAATCGATTAACAGCACTATTCTTTCTCACTTGGTAGATAGTGAACATCATATTAAAATAGAGGAAGCTTTCTCTGTTTTATATCAAGTTCCAAAATATCTACCTCAAGGAGCTAGATTACGACTACTTTACACAGCCGAAGCCATCTGGATCAACTCCAGAAGACCTAATTTATGCATCCAGAAAAAATATATCCAGCCTCTATGTTTACCCTGGCCTACGACTGGATCACCAAATACCTAGACTGAATATTATAAACCTCTTACCCCTTCCTTCCTTCATTTTATTTATTTTCCTTATTATCATTATTTGTCATTATCTATATCTTAATCTTCATATCCATCATTCCCAATTTGTTGACCGTAATTACCTTGATAACACCCCCCTTATTACATATTATATTCACACAACAATATTATTATTATTATCTCAGTTGACAAAATTATTTTCAATTTTGCAATAGTACTATTATATTATTTTATTGTGACTGAACAATTTACTGACCTTTATTGAATGACCTTTCTAATTTGCAAATATTACAATTTTTTGAAGTATATATATATATCGTAACAGATGCAAACGCTCACCATTTTTTAACACATAACATTGTCAAACTCATTAAAACATGCCTTATTTTTGGCCTTTGTAAAATATTATAATTATGGACTTATAACTGTAGAGCCTGATGATGAAGTTATTGAAAACAATTGTTCGCTCAAATATTCTTCGTTTTTTGAATATTCTATGGGGATTTTTAAACTGCTAATATTGAATAATCGACTGTTTAGTTATGTGCATTATTTGACGCATCTCAATAATGCCAACTCTTTAAGAAGCACTTTAGCTTGTTATTGAGAGGTAATTTTTTTCGATTGGCATTGAAAATATTCAAAGTTTAAATATATTTTCGAGAAAATGTGTACTGTGATATGGCCTCTATTTTTACACATAATTGTCTTCTGTATTGTTGCACTGTCATACCTAATCGTTTATGTGATTTTTCGCGATCTTTTATCCTCAATACCTTATTATTTGTTGGTATGTTCTTACTATTGTTATCATCTGATTTGTAATACCAATGTAAGGCAGGTTTTCAGTTAACTGAAAGTTCCCATTTTGATTCTTAGTAAAATGAAGGAATAGAGCAAAGAAATTTATTTTCGATTAGTATTTCTCCATGACATTTGTATGATTTACAACAATGAAATAATACTCATTGAGCAGTTGCGTTATGTAGTAATTATATTATCACTATTACACAACGCAACTACTCCATGAGTAATCTTTTCACTTGACACAATTATATTCACTTTGTAATGATAGAAAGTAATATATATGTAGTGCACATAGACATATTTGTACCTCATCAGAATTTAAGAATTAATACACGTTTTTATTTACAGAATGATGATTCACCTCCCTGTTATCTAAGTGCTCAGGAATCAACTACTCAGTGGTTGACATCTCCTCCCGTTATATCCATTCGTACTCGAACAAATCAGTTGAATAATGAGAAGTCTGCAAATAATGTTCATTCCATAAATCGATCTGCAAATAGTAATCAGGTCTCTTATGGTTTACTTGATGCTTTAGAGACAATTGTATTCCTTCTTAATGTAAGTCATATATATATAATTCATAATTTATATCTTTGAACGATGATGCACGGCTTCAACTGCCTGAAAAATTTATCAATTGGAAATAATTTAAAACAAATTAACCTCCATTTTATCTGACTCATAAACGGGTATCATCAACATGGAGCCTGGTAGAGATTCGGATTGGCCCAAGTTACCGTACCAGACTAAAAAAAACGACGAAACGAGAATAACAAAGGAGATTGAAACAACGTAGTAACACCGATATAAAGGAAAACTGAACCTTGAAAATATGGTTTGAAAAGGCACACTGGAAAAGTATGAATGGAAGGATACTAAAATTCATGGCCTATAATACTATCCCGACCGTTGTTGCTACCTTGACGTGGTGGTCGGGCTTGCCTATCGTGATGAAGCAACCGAGCTATACTGGGTGGAACTACCGTTCCTCAAGGTCCTAACACGTCAGAAAGGTCGGTTGAAGAGCGGAAAGACCAAAAGCAACAAACCCAAGGTCCGAACGCGAAGTCGTACTGCCGACTGTACAGAGGTGTGAAACCAGTTAGGTGTTTCCTTCAGAAAACCAGCATGGCAGCGATGCTGCCTTCCCACAAGGAGGGGTGAGGTTAGAAAAGGTCGACCCTAAAAATGCACACCTCGCCTTATCCCACGGATATCCGTCTCCGGCGGTAAGGTCCCAAAAAGTACGGAGCTAACACAAAAATTACCCATAAAAAGGTCGTGTGTGACCGACCTCAAGCAGTTGTCCCTTGAGCACTGCGGTCACGCTCTCAGGTCACTAAGACCACTTCTAATCCGATTTCCTTTTCAGGTACCTCCAGAACAACCCTTCCACGGTGTTGGCAACCGGGAAGTGATAACGGCCCTCATACCTCTAACAGCACTCAAGACCACTGTATTCATAATCAACCTCCTCTTCAATTCCTATTATTCCTCCTACATCGACTTTCAACTCTAAACTTCCTCCTTCGGCTTCCTCCTCAAGTGTCACCATAGCCAACGATTCTAGTGCTCAAAACACTGTTCCAGGTCTACTGAAACCTCGCTCCAAACTACACATTGGAGCCTTCAACGTACGCACCCTATGTCAAATCGGTCAGCAGGCTTCCTTGGCTAAAACCCTAGAGTCTCTTTCCATTGATGTATGCTGTGTCTCCGAAACACGCATACAGGATTCCAGTGTGGTCATTCACTTGACCTCACCTCGGCAAAACGGAGAGCCAACGAGATACACCCTCCGTGTATCTGGTGACCCGATGGCCAGTTCTCGTGGACTGGCAGTAGTAGGGATAGCACTAAGCATGAGGGCGGAACAAGCACTGCTAGAGTGGATCCCCGTCAACAGTCGTTTATGTGCTGTTCGGCTAAACGGCTCCGTAAGAACTCGGAAGGATAGGGACACACGTCGTTGCCTTTTTGTCGTTTCTGCCTACGCTCCCACTGACTGCAGCTCAGATGATGTGAAAGATGAATTTTACAGAAAGCTGTCTGAACTTCTTCAGAAAGCTAAACGCTCAGACATAGTACTCGTAGCAGGTGACTTTAATGCTCAGATAGGTAGTTTAAACCAAACAGAAAGGCATTTAGGTGGGTATTTTAGTATTCCGGCACAACGAACAGATAATGGTGATCGTCTGGTGCAACTGTGCTCAGACAATCGTTTATTTTTAGCAAACACAAATTTTCACCAAACCAATGATGGACTCAAATAGACCATATTGCCATCAGTCATCGTTGGAGAGGGTCGGTAGAAGATTGTCGCTCATTCTGGAGTACCTGCTTGGACTCCGACCATGCCCTAATACGGGCACGCATCTGCTTGCGCCTCACTGGACGCAAAAAAGCCACATTAAAAAGACCCATTAGAACTGAGTTGAGTAACGAGAAAACCAAAAGTAGGTTCCAGGAACAACTGAGGTCACACTTAGGTAGTTGTGAAGACGAGGCTGACCCAGATGTTGCTTGGAAAGCTATACAAACAGCTGTGGAAACAGCAGTGACATCTATTAGTGACTTAAACCACAGAGTTACAAAGAACCAGTGGATTTCTTCAAGGTCTATTGCACTGATGGATTCTCGCAAACTCGTCCCATCAGGCTCTGAACATGATGAAGAGCGACAACAAATCAGATCTAGGTTAAGAAAAAGTCTAAGAAACGACCGTGAGCAGTGGTGGGCAACGAAAGCAAAAGAGATGGAAAAGGCGGCGACTATAGGGAACACAAGACAGCTTTACAGACTAATAAAAGAAACTGGAATTAATAAGTCAAGTGTAAGTGAGATTATTTCGGAAAAAGACGATACTCTCATCTGCTCCCAGTCCAGACGTTTAGAACGATGGGCGGAACATTTTAGAGAACAGTTCAGCTGGCCTTCAGCTACTCTACAACTACCCTCCATTCCCAGACTCGTGAATGGAACATTGAAGTAGGTCCCCCAACTCTTGCTGAAGTTCAAAAGGCTATAGTTAATCTGAAACGAGGAAGGGCAGCTGGTCCAGATGGATTGGCTCCAGAGGTCTTTAAGGATGGTGGTCCAATTTTAGCGATTAGGTTGACTAATATTTTAGCTAAGATCTGGGAGTTAGACGTTATCCCATCTGACTGGTCGCAATCACTTATCGTCCCAATATATAAGAAAGGGTCAAAATCATCCTGTGACAACCACAGAGGGATTAGTTTAACTAATATTATCTAAAATACTAGCCTCGATAATTATCAGACGCCTAACTAAGACTCGTGAACTGCAAACACGAGAGAACCAAGCTGGCTTTAGACCTGGTCGTGGCTGCATCGACCACATATTCACCATTCGTCAGGTTCTAGAACACAGGCATACTTATCGGCGTCCGACAATGGTGGTCTTTCTTGACTTAAAAGCAGCATTTGACTCGGTAGACCGCGAGATTCTGTGGCAGTGTCTGTCATTGAAAGGCGTACCTCAGAAGTACATAAACCTTGTGAAGGCTCTTTACTCGAACACTACTAGTCGAGTCAGAGCTTATGGCGAACTGTCATCTACTTTTGCAACCTCAAGTGGTGTCCGTCAAGGCTGTCCACTTTCTCCATTTTTGTTTAACTTCATCATAGACCTATTGATGGAAATAACATTCTCGTCGACTGAATTCTCGGGTATTGATCTCCTTCCAGGAGGTCCACTTATCGACTTAGAATACGCAGATGACATAGTCCTGTTTGGTGAAGACGCTGACAAAATGCAGAGTCTTCTGGTAGCACTAAGCAACAATGCCAGAATGTTTGGAATGCGCTTCTCTCCCTCTAAATGCAAGTTGTTGCTTCAGGACTGGTCTGCGTCAACACCTGAACTAAGGATAGGGAGTGAAGTAGTCGAACGCGTTGACAACTTCACTTATCTTGGAAGTCTGATCAGCCCTAATGGGTTGGTGTCTGACGAAATCTCAGCACGGATTCGAAAGCTCGTTTGGCTTTTGCCAACTTACGTCACCTGTGGCGAAGGCGAGATATCCGTCTATCAATAAAAGGACGAGTATACTGCGCGGCAGTCCGTTCTGTTTTAATTTACGGCAGCGAAACATGGCCCTTAAGAGTAGAAGACACCCGTAAGCTACTAGTATTTGACCACAGATGCCTTAGAAATATTGCTGGCATCTGCTGGGATCACCGGGTAAGTAATAGTGAGGTTAGACGCAGGGTATTAGGGAATGATGGTAAATCAGTTGATGAGGTTATGAATCTTCATCGACTGAGATGGTTGGGCCACGTGTTACGTATGCCTGAACACCGATTACCACGACGTGCAATGCTAACCGGTGTAGGGGATGGTTGGAAGAAAGTTAGGGGCGGCCAAACCAAAACGTGGCATCAGTGCTTGAAGTCACTAACTTCTAGTCTGAGCCATGTTGGTAGATGCAGACTACTTGGTTGGGGTCCGCGTGACTTTCGTAACCAATGGTTGGAGACTCTTGGTGACATGGCTCAGAATCGATCACAATGGCGTCGGTGTATACACTCCCTGTCTTCCCTTAAACTAAGAGATTAAAATCACTTCATATCTTTCTTTCTACGAACTAATTCTTTCTTCCTGTACTATATCCTTATTGCAATCTTTCTCTTATATATTACCACCTTTGACCTAACCACTCCTATGAATCCGGTGTTCATCTTGCTGTGCTAATGAGGTATGGCGACCTGGACCGATGCATATATGTACCTGGTCCTACGTTGTAGCTGACTGACTGACTAAGAAGAGAAAGAGTAAATGCATCTGAGTTGGACTAAACGAAAACTATTTCCCTTTTAGCCAATGAAAATGTTTGCTGATAGATTAGCTAGTTGGAATCTGAGAATACTGTTTATGGGTATCCAAATTAAAGCATTTCAACATGGAAGTTGGAGTTGATCAACTTAGCTATATCAATCAAGCGTTTATGGTAGACTAAAATAACGTTTTACTGCATTTCATATTAATCTTAACTGTTGTTATTTTTGTTATTATTAACAATTTAGAATCATCTTCATGAGACAGATTCTGTCTTGTCAATGTTTTCTAAGCTGGAGTCGAGTTTAACTCGTTTGGTTCACTGTTGTGTAAAAGCGGAAAAAGCTGTTATTGAAGCAGGAACTGATCTAGATGAACCACTTTTAATTACTCAACACAGACAACATGCTAAATTAGCAGTAAGTCACCATTAATGACCTTTGTTTTTATCTAGTATAATATGACCAAAAATCAAATTTCATACTGTTCAATCAAAATAATAGCTTTAATTATTCAAGCCGATTAAAAATGATAAATGTATACTCCAGTGGTGTGGTATAGGCTTTATATTTAAATATAATAATGAAGATAAAGGTATCAATTATTTTTATCGTCCACCACACGTCAATTCATGAGTTATAATTCTTTCATAGACGTATCTGATAATATTCAATTGTCCGAACCTCAGTAGGTTTATTGGTATGAAAATCGTTGGTTAAAAGTTGATTGTTCAAAAACTAATGGATACTTTAAAAACACTTATGAACTTTATATCATTATTAATTAGTAGTTTTGTACTTGAATAATTCATTGTGTTACTGTATATAACTGTGAATATATATTTTCATTTTAATTGTGATTTTTAATATTATCAGCTGGAGGAAGTATTCATATGCATTTGGAAACAGATGAAAGTTGTTCCTCCCAATGTATCCATCAATAATCCACTGTCCATGTTGCATACAATTCCCGATAAACAAGATCTGAAGACGCCGGCTACCACTCCCGTATTTAATTCGGAAATACCTGATTCCATACATCCGATTGCTCAATATGAAGCTATACTCAGCTTATCACTCACACTGTGCGGTTACAATGTGAAATCGAATCAAGAATCTTGTGAATGTGGTAAATATATATATATAATCACTCGTTTTTATTTATTTGTCCTTGCGTTTTACTAGTAATCAGTTAAGAGTTAAGTATGAAAAACCTATATATTCCCATTACCTAGGATTAAACAGTCTGTCTCGTCCACAAGTTAAAAATATTTTGAATAAATGCTTCAATTTGTTGTAGATTGACTAGATTCTTCTTTTCGTCACCCATAGAAAATAGGCTTCCTAATACTTAAACATTCTCTCGAAAAGTGTTAGCTTCGTGGGTCAACTTACATATATGGACAAACTTACTCATGTATGTACTAAACTGTGTTGGAATTTTTCAAAATAAAGGTTCATCTTTCTAGAACCGAAAATCTTATCATTTCTTCACTGAAGAAATTTTATGTCAGCTATTCTTTTGCCTTTTACCAAACAGTTAGTAAGTACTTACAGTTACTGTGTCTAGTCCTTAGTCTCGGTTGAGTTTTGCCCATCGAATTGCAATGTAATTATTAAGATAGGTTAAGAATAACTCAAAATTACAGTTCATTTATCTTAAACTAGTTTGTTAGCAGAATACTCTGTACCTAGATGTTGTACACGTTAACCTTTATATTTTTACCAATCTGATTTCCAAGCTTATATATGAGATTATCTATCATAGGAAATTAAGACTTTCAGTTTTTGCTTCTGCATATTATATGTGGACTAAAAAACAATCATTTATTGTAGACTTCAATAGTAATAGTCATAACCTAAGTTGTTTTTTTGATTTATAATTTATTAACTTCTCGCTGTAGTAGAAGCTGAGATGTTTTTTGATGGACTTATGATTTTCTTTTGTTGTACAGCACTTCAATTGTCTGTTACTTTCATGAATTGGTTCATCGGTTTTTGGAATTATTTAGTCGACCAGTATTGTGTAAAACAAACTAAAAGTAATTCGTCAAAATTATTAAATTTTCGAAACTTTTTGATTAATTTGGAACCTGAATTTCAAAAATTATTATACGAACATTAAATCCAAATATTCAACAATTGACTGACTTAAGTCCTAGTGAAAAGAGTACCTCCAGGCGTAAATCTACTTCTCGCAAAACGCCTAAGTCGGAACCAACTAAACGTCTGTCTCGTTTATCAAAAAGATTGTCCTCCTCTTCTTCTTCTCAATCGCCAGTAATTTCTAATAATCTGAAGTTGAAAATAGAAGAGAACTCTCCTATTGATTCTTTGGTAACACACACAGTGGGACGAAACGGCCGCCCAGTGCTTCCAGGTTTTTCATGATGGTCTAGCTTCAATCGACTCATGATCTCAACTATTAAAATTATAAGTCCAACTGTACAGCTTTGGTAAATGAAGTCATCATCTAAGAAAGATTTTCTTTCCTGAGTTGTCTTTGTCTTCTTTTTTAATAATTAGAAAATAAAAGTGTAGCTACTAGGATGAGTTACATATTAATGAAATCTTTCAAGAGATTAATTATGAGAAGAATGACTGAATAATCCTATTGCACCGAAAACTGTTGAGCAAACCAAGGTAATGTTTTTAAGGAAGCAGGAGTATACTCAATGTAGTAAGCGAAATTCAATGTAGTTTGTTAGTTGTCTTCAAAAGAATCTCATCGTTATATTATGCAGCCCAACGAATAAAACGCAACTGAAGTACTTATTACTTGTGACCACGACTTTTTTACAAATGTACACAGTGCAAAGACTAGTTTCTTTATAACTACAGCTCTTATTGTTTAATAATTATTCACTAAAGCAGAGGGATTCGAGTACAGATTGTGTAGATGGTTAATAATTCTGGGTTCTCCACATTGTGGAAAAATGTTTCTTCAGTTGAGATCTGAGAGTAAAATGGATTGTTATCTGAGATTTTTGTCATATTAGTCCTCTACTTTCGGGACTTAAGCTTAGTGTTGGATATACATGGTCCAAGAGTCAATAGCGTTTTTAGGGGAGACCTTTTCTGTCTCATTTTTACACCTGTGAGAAGGGAGTATAGCTGAAGATTTTGGTTAACCATAGAGAATAGGTTAATGCGGTCAAACCTCAAACACAGCCGACAGTATGATTTCACCCTCAAATTTGAAATTAGTTGCTTTTAATCTCAGCAGTCTTTAACCGGCCATTGCAATAAGCAAGTATGACTAGTGACTAAATGTACCAACTATGGCCAAGAAACTGACTACTCATTATCAATTTCCAATACTCTTGGAACCTCGTAAGTCTGTAAGCACTGCTGAAATAGATTTACTTTCAGGATTTCACTATCATGAATAAATCGATATAATACATGGGAGGTGACTGCTAGGCTTATGCAAGGCATTTGTCGGATATTTTGGCAAATAAAATAAAGATTTACCTCCCATAGGAATTTTCATCTCTAATTTTTCTACTACTTACTCGGCGGTGTCTCTGAACGTCAGGGGTGCCATATGTGTCATCAGGGTGGTGAACGAATGTTTATTTTTGTTATCAAGGCAAAGATGAGACATTCCAAATAAATACAAATTAATACTTACGTGTTTGTACCGCCATTTTTGTTCCATCTAGTGGATTAACTTGACCAGGATATGAGTCACCAAAACGAAGCTCCCCGATTGAATGAGACACGTTGAACTAGGTTAAAACATTGTTGTATAATCACTGCATTATAATTATAATGAAAATACTTTGTAAAGAAATATTATAGGGAATGAACAATTTTTTCAAACGATAGCCAATTTAGGAAATGTCTTGCATAATTAAGCGTTATTTCAGAGCAGCCTTTAAACCGGTGTTATTAAGAAAAAGATCTTCTCTTTTGGGGGCGTAACTTAATCAAGATAAACAAGCAAGGGCGATGGTAACCACTGTCAGATCCTAACGATCAAATAAATTCATTATCAAGTATTGAATACATAGAAGCATACTAAAGCGATTAACAAATGGATAGATGAAAAGCAGTAATAGTTTGTAGTAAATCAACGTAATCAATAACATAAGGTAACTGTTGTGAACCTACTACTTCGTGCACTCCTCTTGACTACTGACATCAAATGAAGAGAACATCTGCAGATCTTATATCTTCTTTGCATTCATGAGTATGTTTACATGAAGTTTTAGACAAATTGTCTGGTTATTTACCTCATAAATTGGTGACCAGTTGTCAAATTAAAATTCGAGAGCATAAAAAAACCTGTTGTTAACTACCATATCTGCATCTTGTGTTGTCCTTGCCTAGTGAAAATCCTGCAGTTGACCTTGCTCTTATAAAGTTAAAGTCTAAATCTCAAAATCAGTGTGGCAAAGTAGAAGAATTGAATCAAATTACATCTACCTTGCACAGAAAATGTTTGGTAAATATAATTATCTATGATTTGAATTTTGACCAATATAACTGATATGCCAAAATCATCAATTACATACTACATGGTAGTTTGAGTATTTATATAAATGATGCCTCTAGACTTAGGCGCACGTCAGATGAAAAACTATATAATTTTATCAAAATATATTATTGTGACAGGTATCGTATCAAGTACGGAGAAGACTACTCAATCAAATATTTTTGTTAAGAATACAAAAACAGATAACAAAATAAGTGAACGTCAGTGTGGACGAAACTATTTCAATGCTATAACCCTGAATTAAACTTCAACTCACCTGAACAGGACCGAGACTTTGAAAGCTATGAAAGTGTGCATGATTTTCAGTGTAACTATGACCAGGAGCAATATGAAACGCCCCACCAACTCGATTAACTGTTAAATTTCCATGAATCCTGCAACCTTCATTGCCTATCTTTTGTTTAATCTCGTTCCAGTTTTCCTTTCGGCACTGTTCAAATGCAGAAATATTTACAAATACCCATCGCATTTCATTATACGCCATTTGAACTTCCTCACATGTATTACAGCATCTTAAAATATAGTCATGGCAGTATACACATCGATTATTGAACGAATCAAAATCAGGGAATATGAAAACACAAAGTTTCATACAGTATGCTGACACAGTCCTATTTGGTGAAAGAATTGGTCCAACGGAGCCTCTTGAACGAGTATGTCCGGAAAGTTTTTTCCCCAGAAATCAAAAATGTTGTTTCGGGACCGATTACATCACCTAGATTCTTCACAGAAAGCGTTGACTGCTTCACTTATCTTGAGAGTCTCATCAGCCTTACTGGGTTGGTGTCCTGCGACGTCTGGGCTAGCGTTAAGCAACCTGAATGGCAAATTGATGTAAGTCCTCCAACTCTTAGTGAAGTTGAAAAGATTATAACCAATCCAAAGAGAAGGAGAACAGTCGGGCCTGATCAACTAATCCCTGAGAATTTTAAGGATGGTGGCTCAGTTCGAGCAGCTAGAATAAGTGAACTACTAGCTAACATCTAAAAACTGGACGTAGTCCATCTGACTGGTCTCAATCGCTGATCGTCTCAGTTCATAAGAAACGATAAAAATCCTTTTGTGACAATCACAGAGCAATCAATTTATCTAATATAGCATCTAAAATATTAGCCTCAATACTTCGGTATCTAAACAGAGCTCTTGAAGAGCCAACCCGAGAAAACCAGACTGGTTTCAGACATGGACCTGGACATGTAGACCGAATATTCACCCTCCGGCAAATTATGGAACGTAGACATACTCCCCGACGTCCGATTACAGTTGTATTCCTTGATCCTAAGGCAACATTCAACTTTGTTTATCGTGAGGTTCTGTGGTAGTGTCTGTCATTGAAAGAAGTACCAAAGAAGTACACTAACCTTGTACAGACTTACTACTTGCAAATTTCTGGTCGAGTCAGAGCTCATAGCAAACTGTCATCGGAACTGGTTGCTTCAAGTGATGTTCATCAGGGTTGTCTTCTATCCTCATTTTTATTTAATTTTGTCACAGACATGATTTTAGCGATAGTACATCCATCGTCTGACTTTTTCGGGGGTTAATTGTGTAACGGGGGATTCACTTGTTGACTTAGAGTACGCAGATCATATAATACTGTCTGATGAAGACACTGACAAAATACAGTCTTTCGATTACCTTAAGTAACAATCTAAGGATGTTTGGAATGCGATTTTCTCCCTCCCAATCCAAACTGTTACTTCGAGATTGACTTACGTCACCACCTGAATTAGTGACAGGGAATGAAGTAGCTAAATGGATTGACTGCTCCATTTATCTGGAGAGCCTCACAGTACTGATGGTTGGTTTCCGACGAAATCTCAGCACGGACATATAAGGCTCCATTGGCTCCTGCCAACTTGCGTCACTTGTGGAGTAGTCGAGATATTCATCTTTCAACCAAAAGGCAAGTCTACTGAGCAGCAGTTCACTCCGTTTTACTTTATGGATATGAAACTGCCATTAAGAGTACAAGATATTCGTAGGCTACTGGTACTCGATCATGGGTGTATACGAAACATTGCTCGTGTATTTTAGGACCACAGAATCATAGCACTAAATAAATATGGGAATTAGTTGAGAAGGTAGTAAATCTTCATCAATTGAAGTGGTTGGAACATATGTTGCGTATACCAACCACTATCTTCCTCGACTGGCGATGTTTTCTGGTGTAGAAGTAGGCTCAGAGACAGCTAGAGGCGGAAAATCCAAAACGTTGTATCGGTCCAAGAGGCGACTGACAATTAAATTTAGCCACGTTAATAAGTGGAGATTGATCGGTTGTGGTCCAGTGACTTTGAATGACATAGGTTGGCACGGGTGTATCGATTCTTTGCCTTCCCTCAATCCCTGAGATCCTGGATTCCTAAATTTCCGGTTTTTATTTTACTAATTTATATCTTTTTTTGAGTTGTATTTTTGATGCCTAATCTTTCCTATTACCAATGATAATGTTACTAACTCTACTATTCTGAAATTTGATCTGAAAATTTCATCTCTCTGTGCTAATGTGGTATGACAAATTAAACCGATATACATGAGTACCATTTTCTAAGTTGTGACTGACTGAATGAACTGAGAAATCATCGCGAGAACCAAAAGTGAAACCCTAGCACAAAGAACGATTATTTAACGTTACCATTACAAAATCTGATTGATTTACTAAGCATATGTAGAAGGCTCAGTAAAAGGGAATGGAAATGATGGAGGGTGAAGTGTATCCAAATTTTAAAGCCACTGCATTATAACAATGTCATTTACTGAATCTAGATCAATAAGTCAAGACGTTCAATAAAAGCTTAGTATCTCTAACAATCGTCCCATTCATTTCACGTAGCATATATAGATGGTTAACTTAGACTTTTACGAAATTTTATGATTGCTAATATTTTTCATAGCATCCCATTTGTACAATTTGTCTTGCCGTCTCCAAACTGTTGTTCGAATCAAACTGTTAACTCCCTTCGGAAAATATATGTTACACTGATTATCATTCACCATAAAGTACCTCGCTACGTACATCTTGTCCGTTTAAGCTGTTGTCACATTGCTAGATTCCTAAAATACATGGTGCATACTTTCTACTTGGTGTTGTGAAAACTATTTTAGTTGATCCTTCATATATACATATTCACTGAAGTTATCATTATTTTTACCACCTGTAGCCATAAATATACGTAAAATAAACGGGGATTCCGAAAGTCGTCAACAGACACTTTTCCAGCATCTGATCTATGTGTTTTGCCTCAGCGGTAATCGCAATCGGAAGTGCATCTATTGCGTAGCCAAAACGTATAAAACAGAATTGAATAACGTGGGATAGGGAGGGTGCTTGTTACCGGGGGAACAATATGCAGAGTGCTTATGACGAACTTAACACCATAAAGATACACGGTAAATGCTAAAACAACACAATTTTATCTAGCTTGTTGTAAAATAAGTAACTTAGGATAGTTTAGACCAATTCAGGATCCTCAAAAGACATGCAGAGACGATATTACAGTGTCCTCAGAGTTTAGTGTATCAAGATATTTAAGAAATTTGGATGGGGCAAGTGTACATAATTTCTTTGCTTTAGTTAGAAACACATCACTGCTTTTCGAAATTAGAAAAGACTACAACACCATAATTAATGGGGGAATCAATGATATTAACGATAGCAACTCTCGAATTCTAGCGCTAAGTTCATTTATCTATATGGTTAGACAGTATTTCATCATTACAGATGGTGTCAATTCGTGATGAAAACCTTTATCGTAATTCCTGAACTTAACTTCGAAATTCTAATCCCAATCCAAAACCCTTTTGAAACCAGAATTTATCTGTCTTGTCAAGGTTACACTACACTGAATCAAAGGGCATCTATAAAGTATAGTCTCATCGAAAAGACATTTCTATGACGATTCACGAGCGTATCGAGAGTCCGCAGAGAAACAGATTTCAAAGCGATAGTTTAATTGTCATTACAGTTGATACTGAATGCAGTCAAATAGACGTTACTTAATCTGACGCAAATAACTGAGGTAGGCATAGTGAAGACAAAACGCAAGTTTAACTTACAAATAATATATACACTGATCAAAGAACTCAGTATTTTTATAACCTACTTCCTTGAAGGAGACTCTGCCCCATAACATGAGCCACAATAATTGGGATCTCTAGTCGTTGTGATAGCCGAAGCATCATTAACAGCTGGGAAAATATTATGGAGTATGAGCTTACCATGGCGAACACTATCCGATAAAGGAATGCCATCAACTGAAACACTAGTTTTGTAAACTTCGTGCATAACATTTAGCTGCTGCGCACCCGTCGTGTCCATTGTATCTAGGCTTAAAACTACAGTTTGCATCCAAGGCGCACAAACTTGACTTACATCTGCACGGGATAAAGTTTAGCGTTATATCCAAGTAGATAGACATCTTTTCTCCACGGTTGACATCTACAATAATCTCCTGCTTACTCCGTGTGCGCGTAAACGAGAGAAGTTCTGATGTGAACAAAATTCCGATGATTAGACTACTTATTATTGAAACTGAAAACGATGAAGTGGGCTAGACCAAAAATGCAAACAAAATACCCAAAGCTCCAGACAGCGTTTTGATACGAAAGTCTTTGAGTGGTTTTGCAAAAGCATCGAAATTCTGAAGAGACTTCATGACATAAACGATTGCTGAACAGCAACAACTTCCCACTCAGTTCGTAATGTATGCATATGCAGACAAGGTCATTAGAGGACGTGCCACGTCCAATATATATATATACAATTGAGTGATCAAATGGTTGGCGAAGAAATTAAAAAACTTCAAGCTTTACGAACCACTGTATGCACAAACAGTAGACCATCAATTTTTAAGCAATCGTACTAAAGAAGACTCAGATTTGTGTAGTAAGTACAGAATGCCTACAGCCTGTTATTCCTTTTTCCAGCCTTCGCTTGAATGAATCAATTGAAGGTGTGGTCACCACTGCTCCGGGTAACAGGTTCCAAGTGCTGATGACTTGGTGTGTATGTCACGTGTATTTTTTCGTTCATAGCTTTTCTACTCGGCTGCTATGTCCTTTGAGATGTCCCGGCCTAATGGGAAGAAAAAGAGAATATATATTATGTCCAAAATCGTGTCTTAGTATTCTATGCGTCGAAATTTGATCGCCACTTAGTCTGCGATAGGACAGAGTAAAGGTGTCTAGATTTCAAGACGCTCTTTGCATGATCTGAAATTGCATGGGTAGCTGCCCTCTGTGATTTTTCCAAGACATTCGAGTCACTTTCAAACAGGGGCTTGCAGCCTAAATGTAAATTTCAAAGTTAGTTCTTACTGAGGTTTTGTTTATTGTGGTGAACACAGTAGTATCTAATTTGGTGAATGTCCGGCTTAAAGCCTAGAGGGTTCCAAACCGCTTAGCTATGACCTCCAGGCAATGGTCCGCGGTCTTGAGATCATGATTCACTGTCGCCCCAAGATCCTTATGAGACAGGATCACAGGTACAGGCAGTTCCTCTATGTTGTACTTAATAACTTTTGTATCTCTAAAGTACATATAGACACACTTTGCCACGTTGATAGGCATCAGCCACTCTTTAGACCAGTTAATCATATATTTTAAGTTTTCCTGAAGAGCACATGCGTCTGTATCTCCGGTTATTGCTCGCCAGATCTTTACATCGTTAGCGTACAATAACATTGGAGACTGTACTATACTTGGAAGATCATATACATACATCATAAAAAGTAAAGGACCTAGACGGAACCTTGAGGTACTCCACTAAGTACTGGTCTCCAGATGGAGCAATTGGGATTTGTTCTTACTCTCCGTTTACGACCTACTAAGAAATCCTTAATCCATTTTAAGAGAGGTCCGGCAATACCAAAATTTTCCAACTTCAATAGCAGTTTATTTGCTGGCACCTTGTCAAATGTTTTACTGAAGTCTATGTAGACAACATCCACTGAGTTTCCGTTGTCCAGCGCTTTTATTAAAGACTCCCTTGCTATAAGGAGGTTTGTTTGCATGATAAACTCTTTCTGAAACCATGTTGTTTGCTGTTTAACGTGTTGTTGGTTTCCACAAATGTCATTATGGCATTCTAATATTTTAACAACAACACTGGCGAGGCTGACATGTCTGTAGTAAAATAGAAGTGGTTTTGGTCCTGTTTTATGCTTAGGAATGATAATTGCGTCCTTCCAGTCCATAGGTAACACACCTTGGTCAAGTGACATATTGAATATCAGAGTGAATGGGGTTAAGAAATATTATGCAATATGTCTCGGGATTTTGGGGTGTAGTTCATCCTGTTCTGTTGACTTTTCCATGTCTAAGGTGCTAAGAGCATTAAGTTTATCGTTTCAATCAAAGCCATCGGTGAGCAAGCAGTTTGTTGACTTTGTATTTGGGTCTAGTTTTTTGTCTAGAAGTTCCTAGTGAAAACTTCCCCAAAATAGTTAGTCACAGCCTCTGCGTTTTCCTGATCATCCTCTATCATTTCAGCTTCACTCCCTTCTTTAATTAAGGGCGGAATCCAACGCTACATCATTGTCCTGTAATTTATGCACGAGAGTAGTCGCTAAGACTGCTTGAGTGCAGATTATGTCAACTACATTTCATATTTTCCATGAGCTTCGCGGATTTGAATTATAGATATAGACATAATATATTTAATGCAAGGGCAGTTACGCGCCACTTTTGCAGGCATGATCTACAAATTACAACATTTATTGCTTCTCAGTATGCATTTTAAATTGATACAGTTTATAAAAGTGAATATCAGTTCATTCCTTCAGATTGAGTGAGTAAACGTCAAAATATTTTCCAAAGTGGTATCGCGTTCACGCTACACACCAGATCCGATCTCGGCATAATTGTGTTAGGATTTTGGTCGCGCTAGTTATTTTTTTCAATTCGACTTTTTAAGTTTATAGTTGTTATATAGTAGACTTGTAGATCGCTCGGTGTGAATTATGACCTTTGGAAAACACGTACGTCTAGTTTGTTCTACATGTCAAAAACTCCAAAGCTGTGCCTTTAGAGAAAGATTCTGAAAAAAAGAGAAGGCACTCGAGTTTGAACGTTAAACAATACTTAACATTTTGGAGTGGAATAGAGGTAAAATAAATTACTAGGTTAAATTCATTCTAGCTTTTGTAGCGAGAGTGAAATGTGATCAGAGGCTCCAGATGAGGGAGTGCAGTAATAAAGAACAATAAGTTGTGATTTTACCAAGGTGGAGTAAGTTCAAATGAAGGAGAGTAGTCAGGGTTGAAATAAGGAAGGCCGTTTATTAAAATAGAATAACCAGAGCATCCAGCTCTGCCACAACGATGTTTCACTTGCACTATAAATTTCTTGTGTGATTTCACAGCGAAAACTGATCCCTAGATAAAGTGTCTTTTCTAGCGTGATAAGTGATAGACACTAAACATAAACAAAAGCAGGTTTGTATATCACTGTACCTAACGATAATAAAAAAATCTGAATTCAACTGTTACAAAGAGACTTTAACATCTATGGGTACAAAAAATACTCAAAGATATACTCAACGATGGAGAATAAATACCAACACCCTAATTTTTGTATCTGCGCAAGTAAAGTACAGATGATAAGCGTCTCTAGAAAAATAACGGTACTCTTAAGGATTACTTTGACCGAAATAAATTCGATCAATGCATAAACAGTGGTCTTGATATGTAATTTGGCGATGAATACTATAAGATATACTCAAAGAATAAATACCACTGTCCTTTATGAATAGCGTGTAGAACTTGTAAACATGCCAAAATAAGCCAGCAGATTTCTTCAGTCTGTATAGAAAAGGACTGGAGATCAAGTGAATATTGTCATTCGCAATTTGTTTTTACGCTTATAATTAACTAATCGCATTGAACGTAGCGTAAGGTGACCTGCTACTACATGTTATCGTCAGGAGTGGACGAAAAGTTAGGTCGATTTATCATCAAGAAGAATGAATGCAGATGTTGTCAGTGAGCGTTTCCAGATGCAATGTCGTGCGTCAGTATCAAATTTTCCTCCCGAACTGTCATATCAACACTGAGTCGCCAACTATATAGTAATAAAACTAAACGCTGATACCTCAATTTAATCCAATTTAAGTACTGTGCCAAACTGATGATGCAACACTCATCTTCACATCGTTTAACAGCTATACTTTTCTATAGATAGGTTGGAGATATATTTCTTTAAATATTAGAAACGGCACACTATGACCATAAACTATGTTCTTTTGTGTTGCATAATGCACACTTCCAAACAAAAGCCATTCTACGAAGATTTCCAGGAGGAATGCAAATGACATTTCGTATGTATAAATAAAAAAACTTTTATTGTGACAATGAATGTAATTCATCGAAAAATACAATCCAGATGTATCAGTATTTATAACTACTAATGTTCTTCATTTACCAATATTAGAAAGAAGCTCATTTTGCAAAAGCTGGTACTATGTAAAGCCTACACATGCTATTCTAGCTCCGGGACAGACCAATCCATTCATTCTTTTCAAGCCAAATTTTTACAACGTCACCTATTAATCCTGACTGCATTTTACATGATTTCACGTGCGTTAATTGCTTGCCTCATTCATTGCGTGTCTGTAACTTACTTTCCCTAACTATAAATATCGATTCACACTTGATCAAATTGACTTGACTTACCCACCACTTCACTGCGCGTCACTTCTTTTGTCTCTGTCACCTCTTCGCTTAACCACTTGTTTTTCTGGTCTGTCGGGCCCAACGATTTTAGGAATCATGCGTATTCAAAATACATCCTCGCGTTCGAGTGATTTCATTCCGTTATTCAATGACGCAAGTCGGTGATTATATACGAGGATTGCTGCCGTCATCAAACAATTTAATCATAGTCAGATAAAGTGTCACTTAAATTTCCAGTAGAGTTCTGATGTCCAGTAAACTCATCACACATTGATTTTAAGGCCGTCCGAATTTAACGGAACAGGTTCATTTATGAACAAGAAGAAGCGAATTAAGTCTGTCCGACACTTGTTATCGGTCTGAAAATATGCATTCCCACGGTTAACCTGTGTTCTTCATTCACGTCTGATCACTGATAATTCACTAAGCACCACACAATACTCATACGCTTCTAATGCAAGCCATGAATTTTCCTGAATATAGGCGTAAGAATTTGTAGAAATAAAGAATCCTTTTCCGATCAGGTTTTGTATGGTCGAGTTGAAATGGTAGTAGTTCTAACTACACAATCCTTGAAGCTGGACATGAGCCAACTAAAAACGTTTACATTCAACGTCTAACGATTAGACATCAAGAAAGATGACCGTGTGAAAACATACCGTGAAGTCATGGTCAATCTTGTTACTTACTTATGAGTGTTACTCCTAATCGAGCATGGGCCACCGACCAGCATTCTCCAACCCATTCTGTCCTGGGCCTTCCATTCTAGTTCCATCCAATCTTTGTTTATTCTTCTTATGTCTGTCCCCATTTCTCGGCACGCCTTGTGACACAGTTAGATGCTTTCCTCAATGTGTCCTATCCATTTCCAGCGCCTTTTCCTGATTTCTTCCTCCACTGAAATCTGGTTTGTTCTCTCCCATAGTAAGTTTTTGCTAAGTGTCTGGCCAACGAATCCGAAGTATTTTGCGTAGACAACTGTTAATAAACACTTATATCTTCTGGATGGTGGTTTTCGTAGTTCCCCAAGTTTCCGCCCCATACAGTAGAACTGTGTTGACATTTGTATTGAAAATCCTGACATTGGTGTTGGTTGACAGTTGCTCCGAGTTCCA